CAGCTGGAATAGAAATTCTCAAACGGACGATGACACTCACGTTCTGGATCATCGGCAGATTCACCCCGCCCGTTGCAGCACTGAAGTTGATGTGCCTTGCTCCTACAGCACGAGCGACGACTTCCTCAGCGACGCACAGGCCCAGGAGACGCAAGCGAGGGCCACAGCAGCCAGAAGAACCGGCCGCAAAGCGGCTTCACGTTGCCTCTGTATCGTCTATGGAAGGTCCTTCCACAGCCCTTCGTTCCCATTTCCTGTCGCTGCAGCTCGACGAGCGTCTGCAGTTCCTTTCTTGGCTGTTTGAAGGTGCTTTGGCGAGTTGCATGCCCGACTCAGCGCCGGCAATGTGGGGAGACGGGAGTGTGCGGTCAGCCGGTCGCTCCGCTCCTCACAAGGTCGGAGAAACTCAGCGTGAGCGCGGCGAGGGGAGAAAGGGTCACAGAGACAAGCTGTGGCGATGGCTCCCCGAGGAGGACGCACGGCTCCTGAGCATGGTGGAGGAGCGCCGACCCTGGCCGGAGGTGGAGAGGTGTTTTCCAGCAAGGACGGAATCGGCGCTGCGCCAGCGGGTATCTACGCTTCGGAAACAAGAGAGGGGAATGCGTACAGCCGAACCCGTTGGTGTCATAGGAGCATCTGTAGCCCCAGAGGGTGAGACGTAATGCTAATCCATGTACATGAAAGTAATATCATGATCGACCATAAAAGGCGGCCTGCCTCTCCAAGCCGTTCATCAACGGCCCTTGGTAGGCAGGTGAGGGTGGCCTCGCCTGACCGCATCCTTATCTTTCTCCTCAGGGGGCCAACTGTACGCAGCCACAGCCGAATGATACCCACCCTCTTGGCGCCCCCCTCCCCCCCGCGGTGATTCGCATGCGACAGCCGTGGAAGGGAGGCCGTTGCTGCATGAGTTCTATTTTCAGACTTCGTCCTCGGGTATTGTTGGCTGCTGCGCCGTGCTTCAATGCCTGGAGAGTGCAACCCGAGACGAGCACCCCGTGACGGCCCCCCATTTCCTGGTGTATATAGAGGGCTCCCTCCCCCCTTGGATCCATCTTTCTTTCAATTCCTTTCCTACTTCCCATCCTACACCGCCGCGAGAGTGAAACCCGCCGAGAGGCCCTTGTCGACTCTAAGACGACCGAGCGAAACCAAAGAACCTATTTCCCCCCCACTGGAGCTCTTCAGGGTTCTTCCTTTTTCTACCCACAGCCTCGAATCCGGAGTCACCTCCTCGCAGCACAAGCCGTTCCTAGTGAGCCGCATTTCCGGGGCACAATCATCCTTCAATCATGGCGTCAGCTGATAGTCCCCGCGACGGGCTTCGTAGCACCATCATCATCAGTTCAGATGCGGAGATGGATGAACACCAGCCCCAGGCACGAAAGCTGCGAAGAAAGAGACCCCGCACAGACTACAGCTATCCGGTGTATGAGGCTCTATTTGATGACCCAGCGCCCTCCGAAATGAGGCAGCCACCGAAAAAACGTAAAATTCCCAACTTACCCAACTTGGGCACGGTTTTGGTAAGACTCTTCCTCGTATGGCACATGGTGGGGCCTTTTCCTTTGCTGATATTGAGATAGGAAACCGCGAACCAGGGAATTCATAACATTTTCGAGGCGGAGCATGCGAAGAGAAAAGCGCTGGAAGAAGAAGTGCAGCACCTGCGTGCAGAAATCACTAGGAAGAATGGGCTGGTCGACAGACTCGAGACTGAAGTACGTGAACTGAAGCATCAATGTCAATGTCAGATCTGTTATACCATCCCATCAGGGTGGAGGACCCTTCTGTGTGGACACCGGTATTGCCCAGAATGCCTTCCCCCCATTGGCGCAACCTGCGGAATGTGTCGTCAGGTTATCACTGGTGTTATCAAGAGCTACTAGGTAGAGATTTTTATGGCCAACCTCGCGTCTAATATCGAAATCATGGGTGGTGGAAAGAGGCGGAGGAGTTGGAGGTCTACATGTTTGATTGCTGAGTCGAAGCCAAGCCAAGCCTTGCTGGGTTCTTTGGCGCTCCGTCTGGCCCGCCCTTTTTTGTTTTCCGGCTCGCATTCCCTTTCGGCCTGCAACCCTTTTCGGCTCGCACTTCTTTTTGGGTCACGCTCTTTCAACACGTACATTTATAGATGTATTTAGGAACTCCTCCAGTACCGGGGCACCAATGCCTCCTTGAAACCACATACTCAAAGCTGTAACTGGGACACGTCTAAGTCTTCTCCAGACATCTCTACATCTTCTACTGGTTTAGCGGAGGGCCGACCAAGTAATTCACCGGTGAAATAAGAGAGTTGGGTCTAATATTCGAATTTTTGGCAGCATGACAGCCCCGCTAAATAAAGGTGCCCCTTTATGATCCAAGTTCTTTGCGATCATTTACTTGAAAAGCCCTATTTATATTCTGATGAGATGGACCTTTTTCTATAGGATGAATTTTAGGTACTGACAACAACATGGAGCATTCGTTGTACATTGGTTAGGTCAAAAAAGGCAGCCAAGCAATAAGCAGGGAACGCAACGCAGATTTACGGGAAAGCGAGCTCGTATCAAGGTCTTCCTCCCAATATTGAGCTTGGTCCCAGCGCACCATTCTAAGTGCCCTTTTCCTTCGCCGAATCCGCCAACTACTAAGTATTGATGGTGATAAATACAACGAAGACAACAGCTCTTTGTGGGACGAAATAATCAAAGCAAGGAATCTGCCGGTTCTTAAGATATATAATAGCTGAGATCAAGCCCTCCGATACCTTCATCCAACGGGCCAAGAAGGGAGTTAAAGGAGGAATGGAGGCAAGCGTGGCAGTTATAATAACCTGAGGGCGAACGGTACCATTTCGGCGATTTAAACGAAAGCACCCTCTGCACGAGTCCGTTGTAACTGAACCCCGGGAAAGGAGCCTCGGGCTTTGGCGAGTACAATTCATTTGATTGCATCTCCAGTGTGAGAGCACCATACATGATTGACCTGCATTCAAAGCTGCACCCATTTCCGCCGTATAGCAAGGTCTGGTGTTCCTTATGAAGAAGAAGAATTAATTTTTGGATAGCATTCTCCCTCCCATAATTTATTGCATCTAAAGTTATGTTAGATCCGCCGACACTGGAGTTCATCCTTGCTTACCGAGAATGTTTTCGGGGATTGGAAGCGCTAGGCTACTAATCCGACACGGACTCTGCGACATAGCTATCGAGGTCACTTCCTTGAACTGGCTTGGCAGTTGGAACACCCAGGAAATCCATAACCACAAGTTTAAATCCCGAGAATAGTTCGCCGGAATTGCTGATAATTTTCCAATCCACACATCCAGGAAGTGCCCCATCGCCTCCTTGCATTGGTAATAGTCTGCTATTGTAGCGACTTTAGCAAGCATCTCGAGAGATAACTCCCGAGGTATATCATTGGGCTGACAATGTATAATTCGAAGCAAGATTAAGAATGCTTCGATGTCCCAGCCCGTTGCAGGAATATCAACGGAGCCCTTTTGTAAGAGAGTCACACTCTCGTTCCACTTGCCCAATAGTGCTTTCTTAAAAACGGGAGAGGCAAGGGTCAAATGCTTCGCCGATACTCGGATCCGGTAGCCCCTCTCGGACAAGGCTTCGTCACTACCACACTGCTCCGTGCCGCCTTGATTGTAATCGCAATTCTCGTCAGCAGGCCCCTGATAAGTACCGCTATGTTCTGAATCCGAGCGCCCACCGTCAAATTCAGCTGCGTTAGGCTCTTCGGCAGGCTCTTCGGCAGGCTCTTCGGCAGGCTCTTCGGCAGGCTCTTCGGCAGGCTCTTCGGCAGGCTCTTCGGCAGGCTCTTCGGCAGGCTCTTCGGCAGGCTCTTCGGCAGGCTCTTCGGCAGGCTCTTCGGCAGGCTCTTCGGCAGGCTCTTCGGCAGGCTCTTCGGCAGGCTCTTCGGCGGCTTCTTCAACAGGTGCTTCCGCAGGCACTTCAATGTGCTCTTCTATACATGGCTTGCTGGATTGATCACGAGTATAGTGGGAGGACCTTTTCTTCTTCTTGAGATTCCTTTTCTTTTCCTTATGTGGACTCGAGCCTCTTGGGACGTCGGCCTCCTGTCTGTGGCTCTCGCAGTGAATCTTTGGTTCAGAATGGTCCTCAGAGAGCTCATTGGAAATAATTTCTTCGTTCCACACCGCAAAAGGAGGAGGATCGCCCAAAACTAGGATAACTTCGCCATCCGGATCGAGGATATGAGTTGGCTGATCCATGATGTTCGACCTTAAACTCGTTGCGCAGGTGGTTAGCACACAATCCAAAAGCTCCAAGACGAGGAGGGGACTGAAAACATTATAAATATAGAAGAATTCATAGTACGGATATTTGGAGTATCAGGTTTCGGGCCTAGAGCATGTTGGTTCTCGAATATGTATGCGAAGTCGTGGCCATTGCTGGTTGGAGCTGGATCTATGCGGACATTGTCGCCCAGGCATGCTCATTGTGTGGCACCGTTCCATTGGATAGATGAAAACACGACGAATTTAGAGCGGACCCAAATAGCCAGTTACGTTGATATAGAGAATGTGTCCAGAGACAACTGGCTCAATTACATCCACAAAAGTCGACATTGCATTCCCGGTTGCTCATTACGTACTAGAGCATCCTTGGCATGGGGGTTGGGAGACAGAAAAGCATTTCCCTTGTATTGTCCTTTTTTGAACAGCCAGCTCTATTGTTAATAGCAAAAGGGTCCCAAGATCCTTCTAAAAGGTGGCTGCGGGCCCACTCTCGGGGACGTCGTAAATTCTCTCAGCGAGCTCCCCGCTCCTGCTTCGGGAAAGCTCGAGGTAGCACCCATATCCCGTAGAAGGCGTATTATTGGGTATCACGGTGGTTGAAACACGTGTAAGAGATCTGAAACTCATACGTGTAATCCCCTATTCTTCAGAGCATCCGTGGCCTGGTCATGCCCAATGTCGCCCCTGGGGAAAAAAAATCCCCTATTCTTCAGAGTAGCCATGGCTTGGTCATGCCTGATATATCCCCTATTCTTCAGAGCAACCGTGGCCTGGTCATGCCCAATGTCGCCCCTGGGGGAAAAAAATCCCCTATTCTTCAGAGTAGCCATGGCTTGGTCATGCCTGATATATCCCCTATTCTTCAAAGCATCCGTGGCCTGGTCATGCCCAATGTCGTCCCCAGGGGAAAAAAATCCCCTATTCTTCAGAGTAGCCATGGCCTGGTCATGCCTGATATATCCCCTATTCTTCAGAGCAACCGTGGCCTACAGAGACAAGCTGTTGCGATGGCTCCCCGAGGATGACGCACGGCTCCTAAGCATGATGGAGGAGTGCCGACCCTGGCCGAAGATAGGGAGTTGTTTTCCAGAAAGGACGGAATCGGCGCTGCGCCAGCGGGTGTCTACGCTTCGGAAACACGAGAGGGGAATGCGTACAGCCGAACGCGCCGGTGTCACAGCAGCATCTGCCAACCCGGAGGGTAAGACGTAACGCTAATCCATGTACATGAAAGTGATATCATGATCGACCACAAGGTGGCCTCTCCTAACCGTTCATTAACGGCCCTTGGTAGGCAGGTGAGGGTAGCCTTGATTGGCAGTGTCTTTATCTTTCTCCTCAGGAGCAACCCATAGCTCGCCACAGGTATATATAACCGGAGAAGCCGAGCCACCTGCCCATCGCACTGCCATGCGTTCCCCTCTATGAAAATGCCAACATGAGTGACTTTGTTACTACTGTACGCAGCCACAGCCACAGCCGAATGATACCTTCCCTCTTGTCCCCCCACGGTGATTCGCATGCGACAGCTGTGGAAGGGACGCCACTGCTGCATGGGTTCTATTTTCAGACTTCGTCCTCGGATATTGTTGGCTGCTGCTGCGCCGTGCTTCAATGCCTGGAGAGCGCAAACCGAGTCTGCCCCCCATTTCTTGGTATATATAGAGGGCTCCCTTCGCCTCCAGATCCATCGTTCTTCTCACTCCTAAGCATAACCCGAGAGTCCTCGGTCCTGGTTAGCAACTGGAGCAACATCCCGCATCAACGCCCCTTTCCGCCATCCCAATACGCAGGCTATACGTCAACAGAGAGGTAGAATCGTGACCTCTCCTGCCGTTGGGTATATGTATGGCCTTCCCTCCCCCCACCCCCTCCCCGGGGACCGGATTCCATCTTTCTTTAAATTCCTTTCCACTCTCCATCCACCGCCGCAAGAAACTCACCGAGGGGCCTTGTTCGCATGGCCCAAGGTGACCCAACATCAACAATGGATTTTAATCTTTCTTCCCTGTAATGCTAAACAACCTTGTAATTGTTTCACACCGCGAAAGACTAGCGCCGGCTTAGCTCCATTTATAAAAGTATTTTCATAAGAAGCAAATTGTATCACTAGAAAAACGAACATATGTAACTTCGGATACCTCCAATCCAAGCATCGTGATCATTTAAATGCCTCGGTGGGACGTCAATCGATAACTACATGGTTCACTGTGTAAACGGGTGTCGCTAGCTGCTAGGCTACTAGGTACTAGATTCTTGCTCTTCCGCCTGCTATATAGCCTTCTAGACATGGATACTAATAATACTTCTTTTTGCATTGTTGGGCCTTTTCTACCCTTCTTGGAGAGCTTGGCCTATCTGCAAACTGCGCTTAAAATCAGGCAACACCCACTTGACCATCCACTCTGACTTGAGGACCTCTTCGGCTGTTGGTCGCTCTTCTGGCTGGAATGCCAGCATTTGACGCATCAATTCTAGGAGAGCAACCGTTTCCTCCCGACCAAACTCACCTACTCGACGCTTCCGTCGATACTTCTGCACGCCTTCCTCAAATGCTTCATCAATTGGAGGCCACACATCCCGGCGTTCTTTCGGACGTCCATCCTGGTTGAAGAATTGACTCCGTTCGTCCCATCGCTCCCACCACTTTGAGGGAATTGGTCCCAGCACATCAATTTGCTGAGAGATTATGTCATCCACAGTCGCAAATTCGCTACTGAAAATGGCCTTCATGCCAAGAATCTCCCAGATTGTTGTGGCCAGGCTCCAAATGTCTGCTGAAAATGACAGCGGGGCATGCGGCTCGAATCGGGCTTCTGGGGCCCGCATAGCCAACGGCGTGTGGCAGTCTTCCCCGCGACGAACCTCCAAGGCTGGGGCAAATGCCTCGCCAAAGTCACTAAGAAGCACACGCGCGTCAGACAGTGAGAATTCTTCTGCATTTTTCCCAAGGCGGAGTGGGATCACTGCCTTTGCTGGAACACTGGGTGGAAGCGATTTGCCATTGCGCTCCATAATGGGGACTGTCTCAGGCTCGCCATATTCTTCATATAACTGTTCGATCGAGAGCTGATCGAAACTTGATGGGAGTTTAACTAAGATGTTGCGAAGGTGGATATCTAAATAAAGATGAATATTAGCTGAGGAGGATTCAGGCACAAAAATTATGACAATGACAAACCTCCATGGACATAGCCTCGTGAATGCAAATATGCAATAGCTAGTGCGAGGCCACCCGACAGCGCCCGCGTAACTTCAAGAGGAAACAGGCGGCTAAAAGAGACCTCTCTGAGATTGCATTGTGCGGGGGTCATTGTGTAGCATGGATGAGTTCCATTGGGACCGTGTAGCTTGAATTCATCCAGGATGAAAGGAATTGAATTGCGCCCTGGATGTAGGAACGAAGACAACGGTAGTGGCGCGGAAAGAGCTCGCAGGATCTTAGTCTCATGCGGAAGCGAGTTTGCTATGCCAACTTTGACAGCAACGTAGCGCTTCAGATGAGTGTCTTGGGCTAGCCAAACAGTTGAATAGCCTCCGAAACCCAGCTTGTCCACGATGCGGTATCGCTCGTGTAGCATATCCCCAATCATGATAGGATGATAACCCCCAGGTTTGTACCTTTCAAGTGACTCTGCACCGTCAACCCAGTTGTAGGCGAAGCGATGCTCCCTTCCATCTTCTTCCCCGCGCGACATTACCGTTGATGAATAAGAAGATGAGAAGCTCAACTCAACCTTCCGAGAGCGGCAAATGGATGGTGGACGTGACAATGGAGTCGAGAGTTGAAGGGACTTCGATGGCCAGAAACAAGGATAGAAGAAGCGGCTCTTTTAGAGTAACATGCCATGATAAGTCGAAGTGGTGATGGGTGGATTGAAAAATGTGGAAAAAGGATAACCTGTTCGCCCATCTGATCCCTACATTTTGTTGAACCGTAACCGCCCAATGAAACCTCGCCACTATCAATGATTTAGGCAACCGACGGGCTGTGGTGAACAGGGCCAGTACTTTCCCCCGCTCTTTACAGGGTAAAGATAAAAATATAAGAAGAGCGCGATGGCCCTCTCTTCATCATCCCTACAATCAAATATAAAACATTTGGACTCTTGCTAGTGGTGTCTGCTCCTACATTCTTGCTTCTTGAAAATATGGCTGCTGGAAGGGGCGTCAACTTTGTCAGATACTTTTTCTATGCCGGCAACACGATCAGTTCAAGTCGAAAAAAAAACTCTGGTCGCCCTGGCCTATGCGACAGCTCGAGACCAAAAACTTGCTCCTAAGGCGATTCTCATTCGGTTAGTCCTGCTCAGCTTCTTGCAAGTCCTTGAGAGTGTGTTTCTATGTTCCTGTCTTCCTTACCTCTTGGCCATAGACACTATATATTGTCTAGTGCTAACTAGACCATGACTCAGATCCGACATGCACGATACTACCACCGTCGAAGGCAAACATGTCAAAGATCCCAAAGGCTGGCATGGCACCTTCGCCTTTCAAAGCCGACGATCAGGTGGAGCGGGAATTCCATGTGGCATCGCATGGGGTACACGAATGACAAAGAGGACTTCGTCCTAAACGAGGCAACACATACTCCAGAGAAGCAGGACAAAACTCCTCGGGGTGGAAGGGGATCTGGAAAGGTTGTTTGGCCCAGCTGAGGACCTACTTGAAGAATATGTGGACAGTCCCATTGGTTACTCGCACCTACCCGAGCAGAATTAAGAGCCAGGAAGGAGGCAATGAGCATTGTTATACATTCCATTTTGGCACAAATTGGGCGTTCATATTACTTTCAAATCCGGACACTTAATGTAGCGAAAATATGTTGTCATAATCCTAAAACTATCTTTTTATTTGTGGAGGACTCGCCATGAAGGCAATCATACGAATTTTGATATTTGCGGCGATGACGGATGCGACTCGCATAGCCTAGGTCGGTATGGAAACATATACTGCGTCTGGATATGGAAGGGCTGGATGCGTCTTCTAAATCCACCGGCTTATACAGGCCGACGAAAGCTGACAATGCTTCAGTTTAAACGCCGAGTAATCTTGTTCCCAACTATATCACCCACCCTTGATTTTTTGGGGTTTCTGTTCAGAATCTGGGTTTCATCTTCCACATCTTTGTTTGCAGCAGCAAAGCTCCATTGCACATCCTCGGTTTCATCGGTCACAGTTGAAATATCGGAATCATCTAATGTAGCAGCTATGTCGGAGTTCGTCTGGTGCTGAGATGCAGAATGACATTGGGACTCAGTTTCTGAGAATCTTTCGTTTGCCGCCCTAATAACTCCAGCCCTCTTTTCCTTTGCCCAATCTCGGGCATTCCTGTATGCCGACGCTCCTTGCCGAAAAGTTTCCAAATTACCAGTCATACCCCACGTATTGAGCTGAGTCATAATATACTCGGGGCGGTAATCTGGGCCGCTGGGCTTGGTGAGATGAGTAGTGTATAGCTTGAGTTGACCGCCATGATAAGTCGATGTAAGAGTATAGGCGTTGTTGTCGTAGGTTGATTCGTCTTCTTCGTATGACCGAAGGGACTGCATTCCTCGGGCTCCTAGAGCGCCATCATAACAAGCCTGACGTGTAGCCACAGCCAGGGATCCGTCGGGGCCTTTCGCTTCTAAAAAGAAGTTTGGTGCTATTGGGAGGTCATCCTGCGTTGACGGAACAATCTGGCTGCTCAGGTCATTGCGGATTTGGCGATTGAGCTGTTCAGGACGAGAGCCATAGAAGTGATCTGGTCTGGCAGAAGCCAGTGTGCCATCAGTTAAGGGAGCAAGATTTCCAAATGGATAATCCCCTCCGACACATTTAAGGTCACTGATATCGCCGTCAAGAATTGGAACTACTGAAACTGTAACTGGCTTCTCTTTGGATGCATATGCATCCGCTTCTCTGAAATCTTCAAAGCGCTTCTCAGAGAACTTCGAGGGAGAAAGGGAAGCTCGCGATCGCGCCAACATTTCGTTGATCTCCATCCAGTTATTCGGTTTTAATGGCTTCTCGCCGTCTGGATACCTATACTCCGGTGGATAGACTCTATGGTCAATTAAATTCTGCTGGAAGTTCCTACTATATGCTGAGGTGCTTGAGGTTTTTGTGGTCGTCTTTGTGTTTCCGGTGGTGGATGCTGGAGATTCCGCCCGACGCTTCCTACGATGGGAGGATGACCTTGAACTCATCGGTTGGGGAACAGGATACTAGGATAACATTAGCACCGAGGTGGATATTGGGTTGCAGTTACATACATTTCTCAAATCAGACAGGTCGGGTCCTCCCAATCTCGAAAACCTCTCTATCTCCTTTAAGCGACCAGGCAGACAATCACGGAGAATATCCGGAGCAATATAAAACGTTTCACGGTGCTTCAGCTCAGTAAACTGTCGAGTGATGGGCCTATGAAGCTTTCGAAATGGTCCTGGAGGGCTGTTTCTTCGGTCTAACTCTTTTATCGCGCTCTTGGTTAACCAAACCTTTGATAGATTATCCCAGTAAGATTGGCTGAGCTTCTGCTTCTTCAACTGACGATGTGGTGTTTCGGAAGGATGCTCAAGGCGTTGGCGCTTGCGGGATAGCCTAAAGTCTTGTGACGAAGGCATATGGCGGTCATAGGGCGTTTAAATTCCTAAATGGAAAGAAGGGGAAGTAAACGTCGTTTATCACCCATAAATGAGCCTCGACAATGCCGAAGCTGTCATTACTAACAATCACCTGCGATACTCCTAGTTTCTCAGCACAGGCACTAAGCCAAAAGAGGACGAATTTGTGTGTGCTATCTTCGCTCGGGGCCTGTTCGCCCTTGCAATGGTGGCGTAGAATCCTTGCACACGCTAAAATATGATGTTGAAGTTCCAGTACCAGGGTTAAATTGCTCCAGCCCGCTCCCTCAATGTATAGAGGTTTTGGCCCTCAAGAATAGGCACCGCAGGCATTAGTACAGCCCCGAATCACCTCTGAACAAGTTAACTAGCGTTCACAAGGGCATACTTTCTACGCCTCCGTGCTTGGTGATAAAGTTAAACGTAGCTTCAAATCACAATAGCTCTGCATACCCGTCGCAAAACAATCCACATGTCCCAACTCCATTGGCCGGAGCAAATGCCAGATACCATGTCCGGAGGCTGAGTGACGCGACTTCTCCTCTGCTTGCGATTGGCCAACGTAATCTTGCGTTGGTGCCTAGGTTGCAGTCACATGATGGAGGGGATGGATAAGAGACCTACTTCTCCTACTTCTCCTACTTCCCCTACTTCTCCTACTTGTATTTTCCCTATGGCTTCATCAACATGGTCTCGTATCTATTGCACAAAAGACGAACTAAGTCAGCGTCAAACAATTCCTGGAAGCTATCTTACCGCTCTCGAAGAGCGTCTTGTCATTGCTTGCAAACCATTACCTCGGCTGCAACGCAGCACAGTCCGGCGGACGATGCAGGAATCTAGGTTGATGTCTATACGGAGGACAGCTCAAAAGATCTATTTGGACATTTTACACGAGGATCCTAATATCTTTCTACCTTTTATCCTCACCATCTCAGAAACAGCGTGCAGGTCCTTTAATGTATCCCGCTTTTGTCAACAGCACAAGAAAGAGGATCGCATTCGTCTTAACGTCAAAGCTAAAAACATCTTGGAGAGTATAGCCACAAGACATAATATACGCCTGGAGCCTAACTACAAGATACTGGAAAACTTCCTATTTCCGCAACCGAAACCCATCACACGTGCAGACAGCAATGAATATTGGGCATATTCTGCAGCTAGCTTGAAAGCCGCTCACAATTTCTTTGGCGACCGCATTTTCAATGCTATCGAGAGCTCCCCGATACGGATGCGTGAGCAGTCGCATCCAACAACAGAGAGTGTGAGGATGAAGTTCCCTCAAGAAGATTTCCAGGATGTCAATCTCATGTTGGACGTTGGACTGGATAATAAATTGATCAGTGATTTGTTTCCGCGGGCAAGTGAGAGGCTATTCCCCCTCCTCCAAGCACACCCTTCGGACGGTCACCCAGTACTTACAACGCGATGCATCGCAATGCCAGAATGCCTCGGTAAGCGAAAGGATATGGAAAACTTTCAATGCAAACCACTAACAGACTTCGTAGACAACGCATATTTTACCCTCCTTGGGGCATCTCTTTCAGGCGTCTCCTCCATCTTCTGCCCTGATATATGCAACGCTATTGGGAAGAGTAAGCTACGAATATGGGAGAAGGATAATCTGCTTCATGAAACAACCGACTGCGTTATTATGGAAGTGTATCGCGACCAACCTCAACACTGCACTCTTCGTCTGCGGCTAGCCTTCGTTGAGTCCTTCGAGATAATGAACAACTTGTTTGCGCCCGGCACTTGATTGTATCACTCAATCTTCCATTTCCCCCTGACAATGTAAACACCAACATATGCAGGAAGGAGTATCTCTCCGCTTCCTTTCGTGCTCCAAATCCGGCCCCCTTCTTCATTTTGAAAGTCGATATTCTCACATTCGAAGCAGAAGAGTTTTCTTTCGCTCGGTTCTGCCCAGATATATTTGCCCAGATCATACTTGAAGGATTCTGGCGACGCGGCTAGCTTTGTCCAGCGACTTTTCTGAGAAACATTAGCTATAGAATCAAAAAGCTTCAAAAGAAGACATACCAAGATATCTTCTGTTACTGTGCCTGTCATATCAAACTGAACCAGTGATTATGATTCGAGTTGTTTTTTGATTTCCGAACTGAGATCGAATCTCCCTGAGAAAATCAGCAATTTGAGGACTCTGGAAAGTAAAACATCCCTTATACCAACCTTTATCAAAACTTCCGGCAAGAGCATTGACTGCAAATATCTATCGTAGCGAACTGCATGAGGAAATTTTGATCGACTTCAAGGAAGTAAGATCGCCCGACCCCGCCTTGAAACTCTGAGCTAAGCCACCAGGTGTGGCTGATTCATTATACCCCTCCCTCCTTCGCCTACTCCTAGTTCCCCTAGTTCCCCTAGTTCCCCTACTTCTCCTACTTCTCCAACTTCTCCTAGTTCTCCTAGTTCTCCTAATTCTCTTAATTTACCTAATTCTCCTAATTCTCTTACTTCCTCATGGCACTAATGCAAGTTGTGCCAACGCTCTCTCCTCTGATTGTCGTTAACCTCAGGCAGTTTCTCTTTCTGATCAGTTTTCTGCAGCTCAGGGACAACACACCTGGTATCCAATTTGTACTGTCCATGCCGAACTAAGGTCTGCGTCTCGGCAAGCTTGCGACGCATTTTTACCGCCACGACAGAACATGCATCTTTTCTCAACCGATCGTCTAATCTCATACGTCCAGAGACAGCATGGAGTTTACGATGATGAACCTGGATGCTTGGGTCCAAACCAACGGTCTAGATGGGTTTTCAGATCGACATCAGTCGACAGGGTCGAGACTATGTATCCTGCGGCACAGTTTTATGCATCCCTTAATTGGGAGAGTGACGGCAAGCTCCTCCCCTATCCCACATGGTCCAAGCGACGAAAGAATATGTGCCGGGGAGTATTGACAGAATGGTATATAAGGAACTACGATCCCTCCCCCCGAAATCCTGAGGCAATGAACAGACATTCAAGACACTCACAGACCTCATCAAGCCAGTTCCCCAGACCCAGTTTCCAACCCTTCTTTATCCATCAACTACCACAATGCCTAAAGCAATGGAGCTCAATGGAAAGTCCCCTGTCACTCCCCCACTGGCCCAAACGCCTCCATGTACCCCTATCGATGAAAGTCCCCAGCAGAGCGTGACAACAGGAGATGGGTATCAGCATTCCGATGCGAAAGAACTCGTAGAAGCTCTTCGCGAAGCCAGGGAGGATTCCACCACCTCCAAATCCAATCCCTCGGAAGACACTGCTGGTGGGTGTGCCAGCCCTGAGCAAGATGGAGGTAATTGATATCTCAACTGGAAACTGGGAGCATATGCTGACATGTGTTCAGAGACTGTGTTGAATAATGCTTCTAAGCTGAAGCCGCAAGGGCAGGAGATATCCTTCTCACGCAACCCCGAATCAGAATCGCCCGTGCTTATGGATAAATATATGCCAGACATACCACCCACTTGGATGGAATGTGATCCCATATTTATGGATAACGAGAACGTTGGTTTCGATCCTGCGATGAAAGAATGTTCCGAAATGAGAACACCTAAAGCTAGCAAAGAAAACATGGAGCAGTCAGGCACGCCGGTTGTTGATGCAGCACAGTATGCCTGGGGTGAACGCAAGCCGTCACCTACCGACGCATTGGCTGATGCGGACAGCTGGGTTGCTAAAGCCCGCAATGAAAGGGGAAAACCGGAGAATTATGTCAGGGCACGAGCAATTGCCAACCCCACTGACTCTTTCGAGGATCTTGCGGAGAGTTCCCAGGCTCACAACGCTTGATCCATCGCGGAAGCCTGGCGGACCCAACGCATTCTTACGTCTCGGTTTTATGCTTGTATAATGGAAAGTTTGATGTTAATGGCCAATCTGGGAGGCCCTCTGCTGTTTGTCTGGCGAGACGTTAGCTACGAGTTGACGTTCTCGCGAGGTGGACTGGGACAGATATTTTCTGCTTCACGTTTCTCTTTCATGTTTCTTTGTCAGTAATTGTTCCTGATGGCAACACTGCTTGTTTTAACGTTGAATCTCCATGACTTCGCCTTTTATCCGTCACAAGATCTGCCTTGTTTGATTTTCTGTCGTAGTTCAATAATTGACGGAACTTAGTCAAATTTTGTAAACATCGCTCGCCATACATCAACGGAAGTGCGGAGGAACCTCCCTCTGTTCGTAGGCGCCGTTTCTCCGAGCATGCTCGATCAATAAACTGTCCGTAGCTCATCACTAATGAATGGTGTGGACGACGCGGTCCTTCATAGTCACTTCCCATCTGCTCTCGAAAGAGGACAATTAGCGTAGACCAGTGGGCTGAAGGCATATAAAGCCAGCCCTCCTCCCACTTTGTTTCCCTCGCTCGATCTTCCCTTTTCTCCTCATAAAATGCCGCAGTTTTCACTATGGCGCCTACAATTCAAAACTTAGCCCAAAACAAACCAATAGCACCCAAACCAATGGCACCTGACGTCCAGAGCGATAGCCCCCAAGCACGCCAAATTTCGGACAAAAAAAGGCCAAAATGGTCCCCAGAAGAAGATGTTCTGATCATCGAGCTTCGGCAGCGCGGAATGGCGTGGGGAGATATCAGCAAGGAACTCCCCGGGCGAAGTGCACTCAGCTGTCGCCTGCACTACCAAAATTACCTTGAGAGGCGGAGTGAGTGGAGCGAGGATCGCAAGACCAAGTTGGCCCTATTATATGAAAGGTGGAAACGGCGTGATATCTGATGACAACCGGCTCTCGTACTGACAGAGCAAGCAGATCCAAGTCGGAAATGTGGGCGAAAATTGCAGAGGAGATGTCCATCCCCTGGAGGGCCGTTGAAGCTATGCACTGGCAACTGGGAGAACAAGAAATGGCGAGACGATCTAGGACAGTTCCGTTCTCATTCTCTCAACCCGCATCAAAACGCTCACGTTCCGTTCAGCTCCCTCCCTTTGCGGAACTCGACGCCGTATCCCAAGGGAACCGCAGCCACGCAGCTACTCTCTCAACGATGGGTCATCCTTCGGCGTGGGATTGGACGTGGATGGCGTGATTATCGCCGCCGTGGCTTCATACCAATAATAGCCGTACAATTGGGGTTCGATACCGCAGCGTTCGATGTATGTCTCTGGTCAGATGTCCAAGGCAAATCGGAGGTTCCGGGATATGTTGGTATTTATTCTTTGGTCCCACCGCGTGAGGCCCGGTTTCTACGGATCTCCTCTGCTTCCATGTTCGTGGTGATTGTATATGAAGATGTCTGGCGCAGGACCGGCCTTTGTTTGATTTTCTGTTGTAGTTCAATAATTGATGGAAGTTAGTCAAATTTTGTAAACATCGCTAGCCATACATCAATGGGAAACGTGGAGGGCAGGGGCCGTTTCTCCGAGCCTGCTCAATTCGCCCTCATCCATCCGATCCCTGAAACTGTCCCTAGCAGCCTACGAGTCCGTAAAATGGTGCGGTTAACGTAGACGGGGGACTGAAGGTATATAGAGCCAGCCCCACTTTGCTGAGGTCGGTGTAGTCACGTGAGGAGCTATGATGCGCGTACCATGGGAATTGGGTGCAAGCATGCCATGCTCCATCTTCCGTCAAATACAGATGATTTTTGCCAGCAGAATGGGTAAGTAACATCGCTCTCTTTATGACTTGGTGTCTGACAGTTATCACAGAGTTGGAATTCTTCGTCACCTCACAAGCCAACCCGCCAGAAACCCTCTCGCATAGAGAGAGCCGCGAGCTGTGCAAAACCATCGAGTTGATATACGCGCGATTGATTATTGCAGAGGACATCATCAGCGCTCTAGAAGCAGGCCATTATTTGGATGAGGCATTCGGCGGTCGCATTTGCAGCTTAAGGGATATAAAACGGCGCCTACGACCATATCAGCAACATGACCGACACGAGTCTCGGCCACACCTGCACAAGTGCCCTGCTGCACGATGTCAGCACCAGTTTGAGACTGCCGATAACCTGCCACGGCATATCCGAAATACAGCTGATCTTAGCCACCGGTTTGACAAAGAGATACTGGACGGGAGATACTGTTTTCAGTGTGGAAAAGAGTTCGCTTCAGCCAAATCTCTTTGGTTGCACGAGAAAAACGATCATTTAGAATCGAGCCGCTCCAGGATTGATGCTTTTAGGCAATTGCGCAGAGCTTGTGAGTTCCATTGCTCGTTCGAATAGCATCTACACTAACAGAGACAGTGTCTCACGTCGAACTACCGGCCACAGCACAACATCCAACTTGCTGCCCGTCAAGGAAGAGGAAACTTGGTGACTGCGAAAGAGGCGCTACATCGGGGAACCTTCGGGACCAACGCCAGAAACGATCAGATTTATCGAGAACGCCCTCGAGCGGAAATACTGTTCATTCTGCTAGGAAGCAAAATCAGCAGCGCGTACCTGAAGAACAGCGTCCTGACCCGCAACCAGTTGTTGAAGGGACTGCGGCGGACAAAGTTGGCGAGCTTCCCTTTCATGCTGTAATGCAGCCATCGTCGACCGGCTCCGAAATATCTGCCTTTGATTACAGTGTCAATTCCGTTGCCGATCCCAGTTCAATTCACTCCTCATATATCGGCCCCAGCGGATCCATCTTCGACTACAGTGTTGATTCCATGGCTGATCCCAGTTCAATTCACTCTTCATCTATTTGTTGAGTGGGCAAGCTTCAAAAGGTCTATCATGTCAAACTGTAACTCATCTGAATGTAGTTCAGTTGATATAAATCTATCTTTTTGCCCTTCGATCTTGGGAACTGATTCGCTAGCCAACCATTGCACATGATCCTAGAGTAGGCATTAATAGCCGACATTGGGTTCAATCTGAGGACTTTCACATACACGTCTCTACCACGGGCGCTGACAACCTTTGTTCGCCCAAGCGCTTTACCCCGGCCGCTTGTGTCGTATTCCCATTCCCAACACGAACTATCGTCGCCGAGAAGGTGAAAGCAGGTCACTACAATGACCTCTGGCTTTTTTGATAGCCTCTCCCACTGAGGCGAACGGTCGATCGCGGACTTCTCAATTACGGAGTTGACAATATGTTGGCACATTATGCATTTGAAGTCGGAGCCCGTTGCATCAAGAAAATGACGAACGGGCTGAGTTTGTCAGTCAAGTGGAAAGGAATTTGGCAGTGGAGGTTCTCACCCTGTTCTCTATAGCCTCCTCCATGGAATAAGTGTCAGCAGCGCCCTTAAATATAACATATCCATCCAAGTTAAAAGCCTCAAGTACTTTATCACCCTCCTGATGGAGGTCCAGCGTGACATCAGATGCTGTCTCAAATAGTTTCCATGATGATGTGATTCCGCGCATGATGGCGCGGGGCCTTGCGGACTCGAGACCGCACTGTATCATGAGGGGAAGCCCACATGAATTTCAACCTTGGCAACGTTCTCGGTTGTGGGGCCAATCTCCTATCCAATCAGTCAAACTAGCTCCAATTATATATCTCGAACTTACGGTGGTGTTAAATTCCAAACCTTCTGAAACATGGATCTTACTGGCGGCGAATCCATCATCTTGGGCAAAAAACAGATCAAGCACATAATAAAAAGGAGAAAAAAATGAAAGAAAAGGAGCTTTTCCTGCAAGCGACTTTCGGCAGGCGAGCTTCCTTTTTAAAACCAGGGATTCTGCCATAAATCAACCTTTGAGGCCTCCTCTCATTTGACAGCCTTGCGCAAGGCTGCCAGTTGCTCGAGGGGCTCTTACATACACTGCTCATTTCGCTGCGTTACATGGCTTACTCTAATTGGTAGCCAAGCTCATTCTCCGGTAGCTCCTCCTGCAGAAACTTTGTTTAAATTTGAGACTTGTAAACTGAACGATACACTACAAGGGAGCGGCACGGATGACCAACTAGAAACCTACAGGAATGATGGAAGAGTGAGTAAGCTAGACTAGATTGCAATGTGTTATGTAATACTAAAAGTAGAAGCATAAATTGATATTGAGAAGCGCTGCATGGTGTCTGTCACCTTGCTTGTGTTGGCGATGTAAGATCTAAACATGAATAGTTCTTCAATTGTACACATTACGCCCCGCAGATTTTTTTTGTACTCCAGGGAGGATGGTCCATGGTGCCTGAGGCAGTAAGTCAACAACTGGAGCTCTTTGATAGAAAGAAACACAAATGGCAATGCCGGGCCCTTTTTTAACTCATCGCGATACGCTCGATAGTTGACAATGCTCGACAGCTGCAGGGGAATCATCTTGTCGTCCCACCCACCTTGCTTCAAACCGTAGAATATCGCAGTCGACCCGTGAAAGTTTCGACGTTCATATAAGCACTTTGATCGCCAGTTAAAAAATAACCAATGAGCAAGAAAGTGGCATTAAGGCTTACTACAGCAAGTTCGACTAACGCAGCACCGTGCTTTAAGTCAGTTTGAAGACCGTCGGCAACGTCTTCACATCGACGATTCCAAGAGTGACCCAAGGCATCGAGCCACCTGTGGATGCCCTTGTCCTCCATGAACATGAGGGCATAATCGTCGCGGAAGGACCTCAGGTCGTTTTCTGTCATCGAACTGGCTAGTAATCCAGGCGGTGTGTGACGAATGCCGCGGAAAAGCGAGGTGTCAGTTCGAAACTCTGCCATCTCATCGTAATCCCATTGTCGATGATAAGTCCGCTGAAAGCGAATATCCAGGAGGTACAATACGTCCGGAGTCAGGTCAACGGTTGGGAGAACACGCAGAGGTCCAACGATGAAGCCGATATTCAGATCGGAGGTCACAAGCCGTCCGTTCAGCGATTCGATGCTGCTCGATATTATCGAGCGTGCAAAAGGGTTTACTTCGGAGATGATCTTCCCTCGAAGTTAGCAGACAATGCAAACAAAGCAACCGGCTTCGGCTTACCTCTAGAAGGTCGTTTTTGACCTTCTGCGCCTCTGAACACCGTCGAAGGCGGTAGTACAGCCGAACGCTGAGCATTTCATGGTACCAAAGGAACGTATCCACCACATGTGCGTTGCGCCCAGTTGCTTTCAAAACCCATTCAGCAAACGGAACTTGCAGAAATGCCGACCAGGTCGCTGCATCGATTGCCCTGGCTAAACTGCGGGTATCGGCCGTTTCAACATCCGCCAGTGGGTTTTTCTCGTAGAGAAAATCCATACCAGATATGCGCTGCTGTGTGCTTAAAATGTGATGAACAGAAATTATCGTGGAATCTGACAGCGGATGAAGAGTTGATTTTGAACGAGATCATATCCTTGATGGATGAACAACAGTGATTGCAGTCTTATCCTATATACTTCTAGTAGCCATAACAAGCACCGCGGCTCAAACACCAGACCACCCACGCTCAGGGATGGGAGATGATCAACTAACGCTCCAACGCCAAGACTACCCCTATTCAGGAATGTCAGACACTCCAACGCCAAGACCACCCTCAATCGGGAAATATGTATGCCCTGATGAATCGGTTCGCGTGGCGGAGTTCAACGCCAAAGGTCATGCCTGGTTGAATAAGTATAGCAGTCACGTATGGCAGGGGAATTGGGGCGACTTGATTGACTCGCGGGACCTCGTAATGTAGCGTTCCTGGCCGTCTAGTTCGTCCAGATGGGCTTGACGAGACAGAATATAAATGAATACCTGGTGCCCTCCGGACCATTTGTCCCATCGTCCAACCGTCTCTTCAGCCAGGTATATACTCAAAATTTCACGCAACGTATTTGAATTTCTCAATTTTGCCGGCATGGGCAGAGGCCTCTATGACACAACTGGAGTTCCCAAACCTCATCCTCCCGTGCGTGCCGAGAGAGGTTTGCACGTCCACTCGGTCAGACAAAGATACAGCAAACAAGGTTGCAATGACGGCCGAGAAAGAGGTGATCAAACCGAATGTTCCCCAGTTATTGGGTACGACTTGCGATTATGAAAAGTTGCAGCACCCCAAGGATCTCGGACATTTTCGCGAGCCATACGAAGGAAAGAGGCTCCCACGGCTGAACATGCAGCAGCGTCCCATCGACCTACGAGCGATTATAAACGCCGACACATTTCCCAATTTTGAGCAGCCAAAATATCAAGCCACGACCGCTGCCTCACAATTGCCTCAGCACTGCCACAGCTCGCCCTCACAGGTTGCCACTCGGGTTCGATCGGACAATAGCCCTTCGGAGGTCATAATTTCTTCAAGGCGTCGAGATCAAGGAAAACCGTCGAGCTCGGGATCACCGCAAACGATGAAACACGACCCGATACCGACTCATGAGCAACCGACTCAATTCCTGGTGCCGGTAGCCTCCCATGCAAACAGTTCAAAGCAGACCTCCAAAACACTCGCTGCTGATCATTACTTTCATGAAACCACGCCACAATCATCCTACCATTTGTTTCGCCAGACGCAGATGTCCTCATCCTCAACACAATGCAATCAACAGCAGTATCCCACAGGTATTTCTCTTCCTCCATCGCAACCGGGTGGATTGACGACTATGCCACAGGCAGCAACAGAATTTGCGGAAAGATTATCGCGTATAGGCGTCAATGTCGATCGGAAATCTACGTCACTGGAGGCGAGAGAGAAACGGTTAAAAAATAGCGTTGCCTCTAAAAGGTTTCGCGAGCGGAAGACTCGGGTAGATGAGCTGGAGAAGAGGGTGAAGATATTGACAGAAGAGCGTGATCATTATCGGGATTTATATTATCAGTTGAAAAGAGCAGAGACATCGTCGATCAGCCTCCCTCCACTCAGGCTGGCCATAGCCGACAGTCCTGAAATTTGACATGATTCCTGACACTTTTGACAGTTGGAACCCTCACTTTTCAAGAATCGATTAATAAAAGGAAAATAGAGAAACATTTGGAATGGACCGATACGCTAGGCCAAGGCAACAGGGCTATACGTCAGAGAAAGCTTTTTTCCTGAATAGGCAGGGATATGATGACGTACAATACAGGTTGACGATATATGTCCATTCGGCATTCGGCAACCTAAGCCGCGCGACACGCACCACGCTTTGCGGGTGAATAGGCGTCTGAACGAGCAGGTGGTAAACTTTGGCCCACCATCCCCAATATGGACTAATCGAATCACGTGATTATTCGTTATTCTAGCGGCATCGTCTCGCCAACGCTGTTACCTGCACACAGGCTTGTACTGGCTACGCAGAGCGAATATTTTAGCAGGGACGGCAGTAGCCCCAGGGACGGCAAAAGCAGTGGCCTCAGGGACGGCAGTAGGATTATCCACCATCAACGACGCGTCGAAGCGGCGGAAAACAATCTCGGAACCTCAGGAAACACCAAATATACGGCCCCAGTACAGAAAGGAAGTCGTGTCCCCTTTCAACGTACGCCCCTTGAATGGAACGTGGACTTGGTCCCTCCACCTTCCTGCCCGACAATAGTTTACGGTATCCGAGATTGACGAGTACGCGACGGAGACACGGATTAGAAGGAACGGATATGCCCAGATCATCACCAATGACCATCAACAGCATAGAACCTATCGTCAAGAACACAATATCTTCCATCAACAGCGCGTCGACGCGCCGAAATCCCACCCTCCGAACCTCAAGAAACACCAAACATACAGCCCCAGTACAGAAAGGAATCTGTGCCCCCTTTCAACGTACGCCCCTTGGATGGAAAGCGGACTTGGTCCCTCCACTTTCTTGCCCGACAACAGTTTACGGAATCGGAGCGTCGGATCTACGCGACAGAGACACGGATAAGAAGGAACAGATACGACCGAAACAGCAACAGAATAGAATCTATCTTCAAGAACACAATACACCCTGCCAACAACATGCCAATGCGCCGAAAACAACTCCCAAGCCTCACGAAACACCAAACATACAGCCCCAGTACATGAAGGGAGTGTCGGCCCTTTCACGTACGCCCTACGATGGAAAACGAACCCGGGGGTTTCATTTTCCTGTCCGACAATAGTTTACGGCAATAGAGATTGACAACCACGCGATAGAAAGCAGAATAGAAGGGACGGATATGGTCAACAACAAAACCACCAACAGCTTCGAACATACCTTCAAGAACAGGTCACATTGAATGACATTGTCAGCTTGTGCGCTAGTATGTATATATTAGAGCCCCAAGGAGACGCGGCCGGATTCACATCAACAAGCATGCCACACACGTCACAGAACTTAAACGGCGGTCACATCGGCATCTCGAATAACACAAACATACAGAATCAGGAAAGAGCTAGGAATGGCCTGGCAAGTACTCCCATACACAGATACTGCTACTTTGCCTATTTGAGCATGCATACATGTATATAGAAGTCAAGGAGGGTCAGGAAAGGCCCGACAAGTGCATAGATACAGAACTGATAGAAAGATTATTGATAGAGGGGTATCTGAGCTTGAGCAGAAGGGAAGCAATTCGGACCACGAATAGCTTGGTCTCGGAAGCAAGAGCGGGAACACCTGTATTTATAGTCGTACGCTGCATAACTGCCTGCGGGCGGTTGGGACAGTCTATGAATCAATCAATCAATCAATCAATCAATCAATCAATCAGGGACGGCAGTAACCCCAGGGACGGCAGTAGCCCCAGGGACGGCAAAAGCAGTGGCCCCAGGGACGGCAGTAGCCCCAGGGACGGCAAAAGCAGTGGCCTCAGGGACGGCAGTAACCCCAGGGACGGCAAAAGCAGTGGCCTCAGGGACGGCAGTAACCCCAGGGACGGCAAAATCAGTGGCCCCAGGGACGACAGTAACTTCTTCTTCTTCTTCTTCTATTCAATTTAACGTCCGGCCCAGCCGCTTTCCGCAGCTATGCAGACGATGGGTATCTATAGCTAATATACATCATATAATACAGTCTAGATGGTAGCCAAGGTCCTCCAGTGGGTCCCCCTGACTCCTGTTTGTCCTATAAACCGAAAGAACTCAGTGCATGCCTTATCGTATTTTGTCCTCCGTAATTGCTCCATATTGCCCGAGGAGTCTAGTTAAGATCATAAATCTTGCAGCCTTCTTAGCTAGCTTAGGCGTGGTCAGGATCTCCTTGAGATCCAGTCTTTCCCTTCTTCCCTCGGTGTCTTCCCATGTTTCCGCTCTGAGGTTGTTAAACCTAGGGCACGCTAATAAGACGTGCCGTACTGTTTGATTTCCGCCACCGCATTCGCATAGGGTGTCAGTGATCTCTGGCACCTTTCTTTCATATAGGAATTGTCGTAGTCCAATCTTGCCGGTGCGCATCTGTACGATGGTGGAACTGAGGGCCTTGTGTAAGGAGTGGTGTAGATGGAGGACCGTAGGGCTTGGTGCGGGTGTGAGCACGTAGGTGGCTCGCCCCGATGACTCGTTCTCCCAGTCCCGCTCCCACTGTACCTGGGTCTGGCGGTGAAGTTCCGACTTGGCTGCGGATATCAGGTGTCTTAGGAAGTCAGGTGTAGCTGCGGTATCGTCAGTGTCCACTGTGATCATCCTCCCTCTTCTGCCTCGTTGTTGTCTGCAGCCCGTCGCTTCCTTTGCGAGATTATCCGCCAATTCATTACCTTCGATTCCTTGGTGCGCCGGGATCCAGTAGAATTCCACCTGAAGGCCCTGGGCGCGGACCCTGTCTAGAGCATCTATGATCCTCCGAAGTATGGATTGACCGGATGATCTTCTGGGGTTTTGGAGAGCCTTTAGGGCTGCCTGGTTGTCCGTGAAGATTGCTGCTCTGCGTCGGTCCGACGCTAGGATTAGGTTTAGGCCCATGTGAATGCCAAGAAGCTCGGCTGCATAGACGGTGGTAGACGTTTCCTTGCCGAGATAAGCGAGTTCTTGGGTGTGGATCGACGGCGCTAATGCAGCAGCCCCCACTTTCCCGTGTATGCCGCTACCGTCGGTGTAGACTGCCAGTGGTGGGTCGGCTCCGCTGATAATGTGTGTGTGCAGTCGTTCCGCCGCTTCTCGTCCTTCCGTGATAGTGATCGTGGGCGCTCTCCACCACGGCTTTACCGGGAATGGGATCCGCGACTCCAGATAACTGACCGCTCCTTCTCCCAGTTTCATCACGAGGCTGTTGTAGAGGCGTGTTAGGGGGCTGGTGGGGGAGTCTCCGCGTATCGGTGGGGTCCATGCTGAGGTGCTGTTGTCGTCTTCGTTCTGGAACTGGCTGCCGGTGAGGATATTCAGTGCTGCGTGGTGTGCTCGCTCCTCCAGCTGCAGACGCAGAGGCGTCATGAAGAGCTCGACATCCAAGGCCGCGCCCGACGCTGCTCGGTATGCGCCTCCTACGATCCTCGCCCCTTCTCGTTGAATCCTGTCAAGGGTCGTGCGCATCTTTTCTGTGAGCCCTGCTTCGCCGCGCGGTGTATGCCACACGGAGCAGGCATATGTGATCTGTGGGACCACTATGGCCAGGTATGCCAGCCTTAGCGTGGCCAGCGCTGATCCCCACGTTGAACCTGCCAGGGACCTCAGGGCATTTAACGTCAGTGACGTTCTGCTTTCGATATGCTGTATCTGAGGGCCCCATCGTAGCTGCTGGTCCAACATGACGCCCAAGTAGCGGACCTCTTTCATCGGAGCAATCGTTAGGTCTGATATGGTCAAAGCCCGTTGTACATCGTGTCTCCTTGGATTTCGCGTGAGGTGGATGAGTTGGTATTTTTTGAGGTCGAATTTTGATCCGTGAGTGGCCGACCATGCCTCCGCTCGTCCATGCATTCTTGCTAACTTTCTACAGTTCTCGTCGGTGGTGCAGCTGCTGGTGAAGAAGTAGATGTCGTCGATCCAACCTCCGGCCGCTGCCCCGGTCACCCGGAGGGGCGCGTCTTCCAGGATGTCAGCGTTGTAGAAAAGGTAGAGCACTGGAGAGATCGGGGAACCCTGTGGGATCCCGGTCTCCACTTGGAGAGGTTCTGTTGTGTGCTCCCGTAGCTGTATAATAGTTGTCCTGTTTCGTAGAAAGCTCGCTACCCATCCCACTATCCTTTCGTCCATCCTTCTCTTGCGCAGGTTGTGCAGAAGCCTGGGGTGAGAGACATGGTCGAAGGCGCCTGTTACATCCAGCAGGAGGAGACTGGCTACCTGATCGTTGTCCCAGGACTGATAGATCAGCTCCATCAGACCATGAAGCGCGTGTTCCGTCGACATTCCCTTTCTTCCCCCTAAGTGCGTGCGTGGGAGGAGCTGGTGTTCTTCGACCGCCTGAGAGATCCTTGTTGCCAGGATGGACTCCAAGGCTTTACCAAGGGTGTTCAGCAAGGCTATCGGGCGGTACGATTTCACCTCTGACAGGTCTTTCTTGCCGGGCTTGGGTAGCACCACCGTCTTGGCTTGTCTGAAGTGCGCTGGGCAGTATTGTAGGTCCAGGGATGCGTTGTAGATCTGTAGTAGATGGGGTGTCAGGTAGGGGAGCAGTCGTTGAAGTATGTGTGCCGGGATGCCGTCCTGTCCCGGTGCTTTCTTGGCGGCCATGGATCCGATTGCTCGAGTTATCTCCTGTTCTGTGATAGGGGGAAAGGTAAGTTGGTCGCTGTACCTTTGGTTTGTAGTGTCGGACAAATCCACATTAGGTTGGGGTGGGAAGAACGTCTCTTTGAACAGGTTTGCCTTGGCTTGGTGGTTGTGCTCCAGGCTGTTGTCGCTTCGGCGCAGTGGTGGTGTGAACGCCTGTCTTGTCCCTCGTCTGCGGGCCCATCTCGCCAGCCTCCAAAGCCCGTGTGGCGAGTCGCTCACCTCCCTGACCCTTGCTCGGTAAGCGTCGCGGAGTGTCTTTTTGATGAGTCTCGCTTTGTAGTTCCTGGCTTGGCAGTACGCCTCCCAGTCGCTCTCGAGGCGCGTCCTCTGGTATCGTCTTCGAAGGCGTCTCGCTGTCCTCTGTGCTTCCTTGCACTCCTGTGTCCACCCGGGGATCGAGCGGTCACTTGGTTTGGCCTTCGGCGTGGAGGCATCGATGGCTCTTGTTATAGCGTGAACTAGTCCTTGTACTCGGTGGTCCACCGACGCCTCCGAGTCCAAGACGGTCGGGTAGGGTAGATTCCTCTTGAGTTCTAGTTCCAGCGTCTCTGTGTTCGTCCGTTGCCATTGCCATTGGTCGGGTGGGTCGCATGTCTCAACCGCCGTCATGATTGTTACAGCGATTGGTTGATGGTCCGATTGGTGGTCGAGATCTTCCCTGAGCCCGCAGTAGGCTTTCCTCTCGTGGATCCACGGTGTACCGAGAGCAAGATCGATCGTGGTTTGTCTATTGTGTTCATCGTACGTGGCCGTCCCCGGAGGGATCAGGAGTTCCAGTTGCTGGTCGGCCATGAGCGAGACCAGCTCCTCCGCCTCAGCGTCCTGGTCGCTACGTGTACCTCCCCAGAGTGGGTGATGGAGGTTGAAGTCCCCAACCACGATCTGTTTCTCACTGTCGGCTTCGGTTACCATTGTGCGCAGGAGGGGGATGGTGCTGTTCCCTGTGCTGGTCTCCGGGTTGTATAGGTTGTGGATATGGATTGTGTCCTCGGGCGCCTCGGTGCACTGGATGGAGACAGTGCAGAAGTCAGGAGAGGGGGTAGTTGCGGTCCATCTGCCGCGCGGTATTCTTCTGTTTATAAACATGCACGTCCTGGTGCCTGGGTCGTCCAAGTACACCAGATCGAAGGATTGAGGTCGTGGGTAGTGGGTTGTGTTGGTGAAATTGTTCCGCCACGGTTCTTGTATTGCAATCACGTCGAACTCCTTGATCCTCTCATCCCTCAGCAGGCTGGCCATGACCTTGTTCTTGGACTTCCTGACGTTGTACTGCAGTATGGATAGGCTGCTTGTACTACTCATCGTTCTGCGTCATTTCGAGGTCGGTCAGTGCGGGGTCTATGAGGGCTGGGTCTACAGGGGGTTGTTGGGATGCGGTTCTGGAGCGAGTCATTATCGGCGAATCTCTGTTCGGTGTGTATTCCTCGTTTTCAATTCTCATTTCTCTTTCCCGGTCCTCCATCGCTCTGTGCAGGCTCATTTTGTTCAGCACAAAGACTTCGGAATCTTCCTGCGTGAAGTTGTGAAATGTGGTCGATTGCGGGTTCCGTCTCGGTCGTGCGGTGGTACGTTCAGTCGGCTGGGCTTCCGCGGGACGTTTGCGTTGGTCCAGGGTTTGTCGTAGGGTACCGCCGGTGAACAGGGGTATGGTAGGGCGGGTGGCAGGCTGTGCCACCTTGCTTGTGGCGTCGGGTCTGATGTAGTACGAAGGTCGATTTCTCCTTGCTTGTTCAACCTTCGCTATCTCTGCTTGGCGGGTGAGGCAGTTGTTGCTCCACGCTGCGTGTGGCCCTTTGCAGAGTGCGCACTTAGGTGTAGAGTTTGGATCTTCTTCTCTCTTTCGGCAGTCCCTCGTGTTGTGGGGTTCTGCACAGTATCCGCATGTTTCATTGACGTTGCACTGAGTTCCAATGTGGCCGTATTTCTGACACTTGTAGCATTGCTTCAGCTTGCAGCTTCTGTCGTAGAGTTCACAGTGATGGTAGCAGGCATCCAGGACCAATCCCTCTCTGATCGCTCGGTCTGCATGTTCCTTGGTGGTGAATTCCAACACCAGTGACGAAGTCGGTTTCTTTGCTCCCGTCCTCGTGAGCCATCCTACGTAGGTGATCGTTGCTCCAGGGTGTAAAGTTGCATTCTCTGTTTGGATCTTCTCGATGGATCGTGACTGGTTGCTGGGGTCTATGTTCTCCTTATCCGTACAAACTGAGTGAACCAGGACCCCGTATGTGGGTTGGAGGGCCTTGGCCTCTCTGCCCAGGGCCTGTGTCCACTGTTGTTCTTCTCGCAGTTTGTTGGCGTCTTCGATGTTCACCGTGTGAATGGACACGTCTCCGCTCTTCAGTTGTTTGGCGGCTACCACCTGAATCGGTCGCTCCGTGCTGCGTGTTCGCTCCTTCAGTGCATTGTTGACTCTTTCGCGTAGCTCTCCCGGTGTCTTATCTCGCAGCAGTGCGGCCGCCTCGGGGTTGTGTAGTTTGACTATTATCTCCCTCTCCTTGCTGTTCGTTTGTGCGGGTGGAGGCGTTCTGGGCTGGGGGGGCGTGCCGCCAGACCTGACTCTGTCGGCTTAGGTTGGGTTTCTGGCTGTCGGGTGCGTTGCTGCATGGTTGACCGCGTTCTTGATGAGGGTGAGGTCGTCTGAGATGGTGGTCTTCGCGATGTGGTGGATCTGATTCAACTTATCGAGGATCTCGTGGGAGGATGGTGCGGCCCTGGATTTTTTGGCATAAGCCTGTACGCTGTTCAGAAAGGATTCTAATGATTGATCTGGTAGTTTTTGGCGTTGTCCTTTTTCTAGGGTTAGCAATGCTGTTGCCTCTGCTATGAGTTGCGTCGCGTGCTCATGCAGGTTTTGCGGCTGCACGCCCAACTGGGGCCACTTGGCCTTATTAGCCATGGCTCCGGGTATCGGGCCGTAGCCGAAAACCAGGCCAATAAGATGACGTCAGTTTAAGCTTAATTACGCGCGCGGTTGTGGTGAAATTTCAAAAATTAGATATGAGCAGTGTGTGGTTGTTGGACGACAGTAACCTCAGGGACGGCAGTAACCCCAGGGACGGCAGTAACCCCAGGGACGGCAAAATCAGTGGCCCCAGGGACATCAGGTGCCCCAGGGACGGCAAAGCAGTGATTGCAATGAAAAGTGAGTGCGCTCGCAATTGCTACTTGGACTAAGCCAGACTCACTAGGATGGCGCTGGCTTTTCCTACCTCATGGGAGACGACAGGCTCTCCTCTCAAAATCCGGCTCCGAACCAAGCACCAAACAAACGCAAAGGCTCTCCACCACTTCCAAGAGATCTCTCCCTTCCCGCCATCGTGAACTCGGGTGATCGGGCGCAGCAGGCGCTTGTAGTCCGAAATGAATCTCCGTGGGGCACCTTCAGCAGAGTCTAGGAGTGCGAATTAGCAGGATCGGTGGCCGTGGTGGAACACATTGTCCCTCTACCGTTTTCGCCGTCAGGGAGTTTCCGAAAGAAGCGATCAACGAGGCATCGGACAGGGGCACACCGAAAAAAATTGCTGCTCCAATGAGTGAAGAATAATAGTAGAAAGATTGGATGGTTGGTGAATATCATTCCGGGCCGTCCGGTGCGCTGATCTGCTACGAGTCCATCGGGGTAGAATCAAAATTTCTGGAATATCGAAATTGAGCAAACAAATCAAACTAAATATTCCCTGCTCTCTTCTCTCTTAAGGCTCAACCTTTTCCCGCAAAACCTAGAATTTTGAAAGGGGACAAAGCAAACTCGAAGATCCGAAACACAACATCTCACGGATTTTACTGACGTTGATCCCTCTGAAATAACATTTAAGCGAAAGCTTTTCAGCTCAGAATTCTCAGAAATATTCGTTGTTCATTTTCGCAACAAGATATGTATAATGAAAGTGGTCTGTGTACCTGGGGCGTTTCAAAACATCAGTTCATTCTAACATTTGGGGCAGCATCATGACAACGGGCCAGTCCAGCCCGCACCTCCTGAGTGCGAAACAAACGTTCACATCTGCGAATCGTGGCCCTCATTAATCCTTTTTTAACTCTGCTTGCCATCGCCCACTTGGCCCGTTGACAAATTCTCTGACTTGAGTTGCTTTATTATAATTGTTGTCTGATGAGTTTTTAGTCATAGCAGTTTTACAGCAATTCAATCAAGCATGCGTTTGAATAGAATTCGTTCATCGTTTGATCCTAAACGCTCATAGCCTAGATATCCAAAACTCTCTCCTAGGCATACGTCCCAGTCTTGTTACCTCACACATTTCAAGCCTGCTGCAAGAAAACAGCAGAGATTATCTTCTGAAAAGTGAACTACTGGCAGTCACTCACCCAGATCGCCAGATCGCCAAATTCGTTTGTATTCAGCCAAGCTCCTGAGGAAACACTTACAGGAGGTTTGTATGAATAAAATGATTCTCTTAAGTTGCTGTGCGACTCAGTTAGCTCGGCTTGAGATATTTCTAAACACATGAAGTTACTCGATTCGAGTGAGAGTTCTCAAGTCCCCATGTTTCACAAAGGCATTATCTTGTATTACTATCTGAGATATGAAGGCTTTGTCAGATGCTAGAACACATGGATTTTTTAACAGCCTTTAAATATTGTGAAGTTTGGCCAAAGAGTATTTATTTAGAAAACCTCTTCTGTGACAAGAATCTCGAGAGAACCCTCATGTGAGGAAATGCCTCATACGCAAACCAACCAAATCACGGCTTGGCGCCATTCCTGGTCCGGACCACAAGGGCACGGGCTTTTGGTGGGATCGACTTTGCGTGCTCCTGGCAACACTCAATGGAGTTCTCGCTGCCCTATTCCTTGTCAACTGGTTCAGTCACTCTTCTCGTCCCTCTTCGTTTGTCATTGAAGGTGCTCTAAAGAATAGGGGATATTTCCCTGAAGAATGGCCTCGGATAGGTCTACGCTTAACCTTCTGTCGCTGGGCAAAAGCGCAGACGTCTGGAAGGTTCTATCTATGACGTCATTTACGGCCCACCTTTTGGTGGTTAAAGCTCAGCAAGGCCCAGCACTGATATGACGGGCAAGGCGTGGTGGGCTTGCATCTCTGCACTCGTGCGAAAAGGCAATGTTTGCAGTTTTGTAATTTTGCATTTTCACTTTTTGACGTTTTGTGCGATTTGGTCAGCATACACGATTTGACAGTCATCGTGTGTATTCTGTGGTGTTTATGTCCAACGATCGAGGCAGAAACAGGAAAGTGAGAGATGACTCCATAACACGCCAAGCAGCCCAAAAACAGTGCCCGTCATGATTGATTGATTGATTGATTGATTGATTGGATCAGCTACCCTGACCTCTCCCTCATCGGGATATGTAGGCTACCACTATTACAGCTACTCTCATCTATCCTTTCAAGTCTAATTACATGCACGATCTTAATGCCTCGTCGGGGCCTGTGAGTGATCTACTCTAGTTGTCTCTGCCTTGGAATCTTTCCGAGCTTTCAGCGAAGTCTAGGATCGCATCGAGGTCTCCCCTACTGATTTTCCATTCCGTCCCATTTATTGTCCAGTTTGGTGGTTTACCCCCTAGCATCAGGGAGATATTGTTGAACCTGTCCCCGATCTTTTGTCGCAGAACCCGACGTTGTTGCTGCAGTCTCGGGCAGTCTACTAGGACGTGATGGACCGATTCTTTTGCTCCACATTCACATTTGTTGTCGTCAGCGTATTTTATTCGGTTTCGGAATTCATTCAGCCATGAGTGGCCCGTTCTGAGTTGCGCCAGGAGTCTTGCTCGAGGCCTTGGAAGGGTGGCATATAGACGGCGGGCATGTCGGCCCGGGAGGGCTGCGTCTATCTTCCGCAGGTGAGTCCCCTTTGCCGTTGAGGACCATTCATCTCTCCACTCCTGTGTGGTGCTGTTGCGGCTGGCTTCCCTAAGGTGTGAGGCAGGCTTTGGGAAACCATGCGTTGGGTTTGGGTTGATTGACTGCTTGGCGAGCTGGTCGGCCATTTCATTTCCCTTGATTCCACTGTGCCCTGGTACCCACTGGAGGCAGAGGTCTACGCCTATGGATCTCAGCTCTTTTGTTGTGTGCAGAATGTTCTGGATTATCTGTCCTCCGACTTGTTTTGAGGCGTTTGCGATGGCTCGAAGAGCGGTACGGGAGTCGCTGAGGATGGTGTATGTGTGGCGTTGGTGGGGGGGCGGTGTCCCCTCACTTGAGTGAGATCTCCATACCAGGTAGAGTCCATGGTATATTGCTAGCAGCTCAGCCGTTGTGACAGTCCAGTGCTTTTCTCGCCCAACACCAACTTGTATGCCATACTGGATGTGGTATGATTCGTCCATGATCAGCGCCGCTGCTCCAAGCGCCGAGTTCTCCTTTGCGGCATCAGTGAAGACTGCCTTGGCTGGGTTTTCCATTATTTTCGTAGCTCTCTCTATGGCTCTGGCCCTGTCGGAGTCGAGGTAGATGCCTTTGAATACTGGCTTCTGCCATGGTTCCGGGGGGCATGGGTCGATTGTCTCTATTGGTTCCATCTCCTCCCTGTGGAACATTCTCATCGTGTCCTCTAGTGGGTAGTAACGTCTGTCTCCATTGCAGGTTGCACCTGCCATGGCCCTCCTGAGGGGCCCATGTATCGGGTGGGATTGTGGGAGTGTGCGGAGGCCGATGACAACATCCCGGGCTCGCTGTCGCAGCCGGGCGCGTAGGGGGGGGATGTGCGCCTCCATTTCAAGAGTTTGTGTTGCCACCGTTCGGAATGTGGACAGGATCCTGATCAGGGCCGTTCGCTGGACCTTGGTGAGAGCCTTGACTTGCGTGGCTCCCTTTAAGGGGTTGTACCATACCGTGGAGGCGTATGTCAATTTGGGGACTACACAGGCAATGTAGAGCTGCCTCATCTGTTCTGGCCGTAGGTGGGATAGGCGTCCGATGGCGACGCATGTGTTGGTGGCCCTCTTGACCATATATTGTGTGTGTGTTTTCCATTTTAGTTCCTGGTCAAAATATACTCCCAGGAGCTTGACCTCTGGTGATGGTGAGATGGTGTGTCCATTCATCGTGATGGACCCCGTTGTTTGGTCTCTTTTTCTTCCGGTGAAATGGATCAGCTCCATCTTCTCGGCCGAGAACCGTGAGCCGGTCCGTCTCGCCCATTCTTCGATTCTAGGGATATCTATCTGTTGGATCTTTTGCAGATTACTTTCTGCGTTTGGTCCGGTTCTCCAGCGGAAATAATCATCTATAAAGGCGGATGCGCCTCCATTGTGGTCTACCGGTTGGTCGACCAGGTCCGAGTTGAAGATGGTGAAGAGGATTGGGGAGAGGGGAGATCCTTGGGCAAGGCCAGCGTTAGGAAGCGAGGCTACCTCGGTGCTGAAATCGTCGAATTTGATATTGGCGGACCTGTTTCCCATGAAGCTCTGGACCCATCTGCGCGCTATCTGAGGGATTCCCATCTCTCTGAGCCTGGCCTCCAATGTGTCTTTATTTACCCCATTGAAGGCCCCTTTGATATCAAAGGAGACTAGGGTCAGGACCCTACCGCGTTTCCGGGCCTGGTCGATGGCGCTGGCCAGGATTAGAAGTGCCTGTTCCGTAGTTCTGCCTGGTCTGGCTCCGAATTGTGCGTTTGGGAGGAGGTTATATTTCTCTGTGTAGTATGTAAGGCGTTTCGCGATCACTCCCTCCAGGACCTTTCCCAGTGTGTTAAGGAGGGAGATCGGGCGGTATGCTCCAGGGGCCGTGTAGTCCGGTTTCCCAGGTTTCCGTAGTACTACAATCACCGCAGTCTTCCAACTTGTTGGGTAGTGTCCCAGTCTGATTGATGCTTCGAAGATCTGGTGTATGAGTTTCGACAGGTATTTCCATAGACTCTTCCACACTAATGCTGGGAGACCGTCATTCCCGGGGGCTGATTTGCTTTTGGTCCTCGCCAGCGTTGCCAGGATCTCTTCCTCCGTGATCGGCTCCCAGGGCAGTTCCTCCCGGGTTGGGGTGGGGGGTTCTCTCGGCGAGAATGTAGCTGGAGGAAAGAAACTGTTCAGTAGTATTTGAGCTTTGTCTTTGTTGTCGGCATATTCAGTGTCCTCAACTACCAGGGGCGGAATGTTGGCGTGATTGTCTGAGGGGCAGATGTATCCTGCTGCTTTCCAAAGGTGGTTGCCCGCACTCGATTTGTCGAGGAATTCTTTCCAGTGCTCTCGCTTGACTTTTTCTATTGTTCGAGTCCATTCCCTGCGCTTCCGCAGCGCGTCCGTGTGTAGGGCTTGGGTGGTTGGGTGGTCGCTTCCCCGCTCAACGCAACTGGCCTGCCACCTCCTTCGGCTTCTGTTGCACTCGGACTGCTGTGTTTTCAGGTCTCGGCTGAACCAGCGTTTGGCGTAAGGAGATGGTCTTGCGTGCGGGGTGTGCTTGTCTATTTCTGCTATTGTCGTTGTGATTAATCTGCCAACTATTCCGTCTAGCTGAGTTGTTGATTCGATCCGTGGTGTAGGGATCGCCTTCTCTACAGCTTTGCCAATCTCTTCCCAGTTCGCTTGGTCGAAAAGTCTGCGTGGCTGGCTTGGATCTTTCTGTTTCAGTTGCAGATCCCATTCTGAGTAGATCGCTAGGTGGTCGGAGCCGTAGTTGTCTCGGTAGGGGTGGCATTTGAGTAATTGGTGTGGGACGTTACTGAGTGTGAGGTCGAGTGTGGAGTATGTGCCTGGGTGGCTCGCTGACCAGAAGGTGGCAGTGCCAGGTGGGAGACAGCTATGGAGTTCTTGAGCCTGTATGAAGTCCAGGAGGCCCCCGGTGTCTCGGGCTCGTCTTCGGTTCACCTGGATTCCACCCCACATCTGATGATGTCGGTTGAAGTCCCCTGCGATGATCAATGTGGTTGCGGGCGAGAGCCGGATTGTCCGGCTGATTTCGTTTAAGGTCTGGTGTATCGGGTTGTCTGCCGGGTCGAATGGCGGGATGTATGTGGAGAAAATTAAGATCTGGCTCTCTCCTATCTGGAGCTCGATTGCTGTTACATCTGGGCTGTGGCACCGCCTTTGCCGGTATGCCGAGGTTGATATGCGCTTGTTGACATATATTAGACTGCGCCCCGTGGCGTGTGTTTCGGTGCATGATGTTTGAAACACCCTCCAATGTGGGTGTTGTATTGGTGTTGTATAATATGTGAAAGGGGGTTCTTGTACGAGTAGCACCTCCAAATCTCCAATTTTGCGGTCATTGAGGAGTGCTTCCATGGTCGAACGTTTTTTGTTGGCGTTCAGTTGTAAAATCCGCAGTTTCTGTGTTAACATTGAAGGATGGTGATATTGGCTCTCGATTTGCACTCTGTTGCTCCTGTCGGGTGGCGTTCTGCGCAGTCTGCGCATTTAGGAGTCGATTCTCGAGGGCAGTTAGCTGTGTTGTGCTCTCGCGTGCAGAAACCACATCGTAGTCTCTCTTTGCAGTTCCAGGCCAGGTGGCCGAAGGCCAGGCACCTGTGGCATCGTTTCTTCTTGATCTGATATGCCTCAATGCTGCCTATATATCGATGTCCAAACACCATTCCATTGTTTACCGCCCATTCGGCAGCTTCCGCACTATCGAACCATATTCCAAGTGATGCCGACGCGCCCAGCGTGGATTCCCTCTTCTTGAGCCATGCGATTTCTTCTACCTTGTATCCCTTTTGGGCGAGCTCATTTTCCTCTGTTATCTTCTTCATGCTTTGTGGTTTGTCCTCGGTGTCGACTTCATGTGTGGGTGTTCGGTGTACTACCACACCAAATCTGGGTCTGACCAGCTTTGTCTGGCTTCCCAGGTTCCGGAGCCACCCCTCGTTCACGGTGGCAGTGTCTTTGGAGACTTCATCCCGGAAGCGGATGATGTACCCTGTTTTTGTGGTTCCTACCCCGATGATCTCGACTCCTTCGGTTGGCGTATTCTTCTGTAGGGCGTCTGTGACCCTCGCTTTGACCTCTTCCACGGGGAGATATCTTGTGAGGGACCCTCCATATTCCATGGGGTCGGAAGCCTGTGCCGCACTGATACGGACGCAGAGCGGGGGGTCTTTCCTGTCAGCTTTTGTAGGCGCGGGCGTTGGGGCCGGTGGAGGGGTTGAGGATTCGCCATTCGTTCCGCTGTTGGAGGCAATTGATGCCCAAGATCGTTGATCCGGTTTATGTGTCACCTGGGTTCTCAGAGCAGTTATCTCATCTTTAAGGTTCGAGTTTTGCCTGATTAACTCTTTCTGGTCTGCTTTTAACTCTTCACAGCATGTTTTGAGAGTCTCCACCGCCTGGCCTTGTTGTGCAATTATTCCTTTCAGCTCGGTTATAAGCCATGCAATTTCGTCAAGTTTGTTCGGGCGTCCATCGCTGTTGCCTGTAAATTCAATGTTTGGGGTGCCATTTGGCTGGACAGCCGTGGGGGCGTCGGTTTTCTTCCGCTTGCGAGTCGGTTTCTGCGCTTTTGGTTGGGTCGCATACTGGCGCGTCGTCGAATTAAAGTTGATCCACGTTGCATCCTTGGTTCCGGGCTCCACATTCGGCTGTTCCCCGTCGTTTACCACACTTCTCGACATCGACCGGGTCACCGCAGCCGGCGGTAACTGGTCTATCTCGCTTTCGATGGTTTCTAGCATTTTTGCTGTGGCTGTCACGGTCCGGACCAGAAGGATCACAACATCCCGTCACGGTCCGGACCAGAAGGACGCCAAGGCGTGATTTGGTTGGTGCATGGTCTGGTTGCCCATTTTTATCAGGGACAGGAGCGCGCCAAGCCATGCTCTCACAAAAAGCCACGTCTTGGCGTCCTTTACAGGAGGAGGAACGGAGGAAAGAAATTCAATTGTTAAGTTCTCACTTTAGAAGATCATGAGCCATTTAAAAAGAGCGGCGGCTGACTCTACCAAGTGTAAGAATCTCTTTTTGAAAACCTAAGCTGCTCAAACCTATTCTACACTTTTATCAAACCACATCAGCGATTACACAGATTTTTTTATGTTTATGCTTTTTCTTTTTCCTTTTTGACTTTTGGATTTTTCCTTCTTGGCTTTCGTATTTTCTTTTAGCATAAATGGTCAGATCGCGTGGCCGAGTGGAAAATTGAATCAAAATGGTGAAGGCCATGTATTCGGATCGCGTGGCCGAGTTTCAACCGCGAATCAAAATGGCGTGGACCACGGTTTCAGATCGCAGACCGTGGCCCAAGAATGCAAGCGCCGCGACACCCGACAGAAGTACACCTTTAAAAAGCGACTTTTGGCTCAAAAAAGCACAACACTCGCTCGTAGCTATAAATTGAAACCTCACCCCATAATATCAAGTGACAATAGTGAAGTCCAAGATCTTTCACCTACACTGGAATTAAATGCTACACCATGCAAACACCGGACTCAAAGCGTGTCAAGAAGCCATGGACTGTGCACAGCAGCCTTGTGCAGATGCGTTACCGATGGAAAGGCACACTCCAGCGTATGCTGCGTAGCTACTTTGATGACTGTCGCTGCAAGGGCGTCTACCTCCTCATCCATGAAGACAACCGGTACTTTACGATTAATTTTAACAAGTCTGATGCTTCGAACAGCCACTTTCCACCACCAGACAGAGATATAGTGAGTGCCATGCGTACAGCCCTGGAAAGACGTAGCTCTTACAGAAACAGGAGAAGCATTATCCCCCTCCATCTCGAACAACGTGCGAGAGCTACATGAAATATCAGAAGTCTAGAGCAGGGAAGAAGGGAAAGCAAGAGAAACTTGAGAAGAAGCAAGAATAGATGAAAAGATTCTGTTTGTAGTAGATTAGGTTTAATTTGAAACCACACTAAGCTCTTTTTGGAAAGTAAATCTAGCCTAGGCTTTCATCTAATCCCATGGCGATCTATCGTGTTTTGAAACTGGGCTACATGTAGTTCTTGAACTATGTCCGGGTAGCAGGGGTGTTCAGGGCTGATCGTTTTGAAAGTTAATCAGCCCCACTGAAAAATGAAGCCATTCCATTTCAAAATGAGCAAATGCAAGCGTCACTAAATTACTTGTTTAGAAAGCATGCGTTCACCCTAATATTTCTAGCCATCATGCAATTGAGAGTACCCCTGCCACAAGAAATTCTTAGAATTAACTTTTAGAGAATTGGCTTGCAGATCCTTTTGACTTGCAGATCTTTTTTTGCTTTTTTAATAGTTAATTTAAGCTTGCAGATCTTTTTTCATGACCCTGTTTCTTTCTATCTTTTTACGCTTGCAGTCGTTTTAAGCTTGCTAATTTTCAAAAATTTTTAAACCTAGAAAAAGCCATCAGCTGTATTTGTGAACATACCGGTTCCTTGTCACACAAAATCTTAAAGTTATGATTCTGTAACTATAAATTTTTATTACAGATCATTTTTTTTTAATTATGGCTGATATCAACTCTTCACTAAATATGAATGGACAAGCAGTTCTCTTCCTTAGCCTTTAGTGTTGTCATTGGTTCTGTCTTCTCTTTACAGCTGTCAGGGATTCAGGCGTTAGGGTGCACAAAGATAGAGAATAAGTTCAACATTGAGGGATGGTGCATCAGTGATTGGTGTGGAGCATGCTGCTGCCTGTGTTGTTCTTTGATTCAGGAAGTTTTGGTTCACACTCGGGCGACAGAAGGTGCCTGGATGATTGTTAGCAATAGATGATTCTAACAGAAAGAAGGAAATCACTACTATGAGAGTCTGAAGCATCTCTACTTCTATGCCAGTTAGAGAGCTAGCTAAAAACAGGTACTACGGAGGTTTCTGGCCCTAGGGAGGTTGGAAAAACAAAGAGGAAGGATGAAGAGCACCGCTGTCGGTCTTTTTATGTTCGCTCATTCTCAGGATGAGTCGAGATAATAAGGAGGAGGGAACGGAAGGACTTGAAGGGGAAACCACGGATATTTATACCCGGTAGGCACAGCCGCCTCACAGGACCATCCAGAGCCGACGGGAAATCATGCCCCCAGGGAGAGCAGTGTCCCCAGGGAGAGTAGTGTCCCCAACTGTTGAGTATCACGGTGGTTGAAACACGTGTAAGAGATCTGAAACTTGTACGTCTGTATGTATATATATATTGGGGATCCCACCTCTGCTGAATAGAATAATAACAACAATGAACACACTACTATCACTTGCTTCAACACCAACTTTTCCAAAAAGGACTGCAGTAACAATCGGCTCGCGCCCCAAGAACGGACCCATCAATGGACCCCCTGGGACTGGGAAAACCAGCCTTGCGCTTGCTTTGGCGGGTAAATTCGGTCTGGCTACCGGTCCTTGGTCGCCACGGGACCACAGAAATCGATTCAATGGCCTCTACCGTCCACAGGCCAGCATGGCCACAAGTTGGCCGTCTTTAGGCCTACCGGGTCCATGGAACGCGGTCCATGGACCCATCAGGCCTATTGGCTCCTGCCTCCAGCATGGCAACCTAGGTCAGTGGACCTACTGCACATGTCCTTAAGCACTGGCCATAGCACCCTTCCCTTGGTCATTGTGCTAGTGACTACATGATGTAGTCCCTGGCCTTTTGTCAACCTTCTTCTGCCACTGTGCCTCTGGCCTGATTGGACTTCAGCGAAAATGGGGAGGGCCACGGTTTCGGATTGCAAATCGTGGCCTGCGCGTGCAAGCGCCCGAAGCAAAACGACTGATCGTTCCAAATGACGTTCGACAGAAGTACACTTTTAAAATGCGCCTTTTGGCTCAATGAACCACGCGCTCGCTTGTAGCTATAAATTGAGAGCTCTTCCCATAGTGTCAAGTGATAACCAGCAAGTCCCAGATCCTTTATCTTCATCGGAATCAAACGCCACAAGATGCAACCATCAAGCTCGAAACGTGTCAAGAAGCCAAGGATCTCGCTTTCCTAGGGATGCTGACACCGCATGGGATTTTATCTTTGTTGCCTGTTCACACAACATTCTGGCGCTCCCGAAGGGGCTTACTTCCCCAGGGATGCCGACACCGCATGGGGTTCCATCCCTGTGCAAGATTGTGACTCTCCTTGAGGGCTCGCCTTCATCAGCATTCACCCAATTCCCTAACTCCCATAGCGGAATTATAGTTTTCTTCACTGACTCCCGGGGGGAATCCATATTAGGGCGTTCCGGCAGATTGGCGAGACGTGGAGCAAGACGTTGACTCGACTATACTAGCCACCGCTTCAGTATCACCTAATTAATGCAAGAGAAGGCAGATGGATAAATGACTGTGTATTATAATATCAAATAAAGAAATGAGCGGTTTGACATCCCATCTTCCATTAATTGCGTGTTGATGGTCGAGGACGTAATGTGCTCAGACGTCTCTTTCGTTGCATCTCCTCCTTCCTTTGTTGTTTCTTCTCCTTCGTCCTCTTTTGTTTCTCCCCCTTCCGTCTTTGTTTTTCCTCCTCCTTCCGCAGCTGGAGCCTCGCATTTTCGGGGAGCCAATAGTCTGGGAGATAAGTTTCCTTCTCATAAAGCACACGGTGAACATATCTATTATTTCGCCATACTTTATCTCCGACATGACAAATCCTAAGGCTCTTTTCAACCTGCTGCGCCTCATACCAATAGGGAAGATTCTCCAATTCATCATGGGCCAACGGTTCTGTCGTAGCCCCAGAATCCGAGATATTGTCTCGGCCGTCGAGTTCGATACCACCAGGAGGCCGAGGCCGGTTATTTGAGGTCCTGTCAACAGACAGCCGCTCGAGCGTGACGTTGAGGGAGGCTGCAGTCTTAGATGAGAAATAGAAATAGAAGGCCGCATTATGAGAAGCAAAACAGACAATAAAGAGGGGGAGATCGTTAAACCCGTACTGGAGGTATTGGTTTGAAACGGCACCTTTTGGAGAAAGTCACCCAACATCTCGCAATAAGCTGGAAGAGTGGGTTGTTGTGCACCGGACGGCAAAACTTGACTGGGTAGTGGCGGAGGGCCCTCGGTTCCTTGTCTATCCATGCTAAGGATGTGCAGAGATGCAGAGGAGGAAGAGAATATTTGAAGCAAGATGGGCGAATATTTGAAGCAGGAAAAAGATTTGGAGAACTGAATTCAAATGAGACCTTCTATAGCCCTTTATACCTCAACCCCATGTTGGCTGGACTGGCTGCACTGTCTGTCAGCAATCCCTTCCACCTGGTCCATAATTCCTAAAGGGAACGCCAGGGCGAGCTGACCCGATACCCATCTCGCTGCGCCCTCTCGCGAAAAAGAGCACAGGGGTGAAGTCATGCATGCTTCTGCACTGGTTCAGGCGCAGATGATTGGCTGCGGGTGTAGTTCCGTCTTCCCAATACATGCCAGCCCCATGTCCCTCGCCTTATCAACTGGAGGAGAGGATCGAACAGTTTGCCGGTTGGCTGAACTTCCTGGCGTATCAGGAGGGTCGGGGGGGAGAGCGGAATCCTTTTCAACTGGTCGATGTTGGCTGGATGAGATATATATATCTTGATCTGACGTTGGAGAAGCCGGCATGAATGATAGGGCCAGAGGATGAGCTGTATTTAGATTTTCCTTCATTTTGCTTTCGTGGATAAAGCCCCTATGGGGTTGCCAAACCGCACTCGTGGGGTGGTGTATCACAAAATGACAAGCCTCGATGCAGGTCGCGCCTCGGATATTGCTTCATGGCTTCGCCTCTGTGCTCCATGGATGTCTCGACTCTAAGCGAAAACACCAACAGGCGCACTTCTTGACTGGCACACATGGTTGGGTTAAGTTCGGCCGTCCTCGTGCATGCCACCCCCATGTTCCTTGTCCCCGGTTTTAGCGGCTTGTCGATTCGAGCCAGGGGGAAAAGGGGGGCTGAATAGGTTGACTGGCTGATATTCGCTGGACGAAAGCCCATGTTGGCATGGGGGGTGGTGGCCAGGAGCACTTCTGCATTGGTCCACCCCATCAATGCAACATTTCCCGGTTCAGCGGCTTCTTCGGTGTGGATGATTGGCGATCCACGCAGCATGCATCTCAGCTACTGTTTTTCCCACCCTCCTTGATTAGGCTTGACCTATATTTGTTCGCAGGCTGGGGTTGAACGTGGGACATATAAAGACGTCAAGTGCCTCCTGGAACGAGATCGAGGGGAGAAGAGCATCCCATCATCTCATCTCGCAACATGGCTACCTTCACGTACGATATCGCCTCCCCTGGACCTGCCGACGGTTCTCCCTCGCCTCAGCTGCACACAGTGCACCTCCTGGAAGCGTACACTCCTGATCCTCGGTCAGACGAAGAGCCCCAGCACCTCCTTCCAATGCCCATGCCCGTGCCCGTGCCCTTCTTCTCTGCGTCCGGTGAGCTCTCTAAGGATGCAGCAAGTGAGGCGTTCGCTGATTTTTCTGCCCTGCCATCCACCGTCTCTGGTCTCGATGACATTAACTGGGACGAATGGATCCTGTTCGACTCCCCCCCAGTCAATGTTCCCCCACCGTCACTCCAACTGTCGGATATTTCCGACGACCCCATCGAGGAGGCTCACCGAAGCCCGAGCGACGTTGCCGATGGCCCACCCAATCAACGAGAGCCAACCCCTCCCCTGGCCTCAGACAATCGCGAAGGCAACACATTGAAGGAACCGTTGAATTATTCCGATGATTGCATCGAGGCTGACCCACGTCCAGGCAAGGAACCCCATGTCCAAACCCACCGACCGGAGCAAGTTACCCGCCTGGCGTCGAACCGTTGGGAAGGCGATGCGTTGGGGGAGACGCTGCATAATCAGGAATACATTATCTTGCCCCTTTCTCAGGTGAAGATTCTGAAGCTGGTGTATAAGCGAGACGGGGATGAGATGTACCAGATAGTAGGACGGATAGATTTACAAGAAACGCGCGGATACGGCACACAAGGAAAGCCGTGGAAGTGCTTGGGCTCTGCTGGTAAGGCTCAGTACCTGCTCTGTGAAAAACATTTCTCACGCCTCACTCACTCTCGCAGAAGACCCAATCATCATCGATGGGCCAATGAGTCCCAACCTGCTTAGCGACTCCGATCCGTTTGTCGCCATTCCATCCCTTCAACGAAATATAGAGAGGGTTCCCGGGGGTTACAAGGTGTATGCCAAGATGACATTGGACGATTTGCAGGAGCATGGAGGGTTGGGGCTGCTGGCAGCTTACTGGAATATCGAATGTCGTCGAATGAGGTCACGTGGATTATGTCAGCATTGATTCAAGATGGCCCAATCTCACGAAACCTTTCTATTTCTAGTTAGTTAGATGCTTAAATTTATGCAACAATTGAAGTCTCATTCTCTTCATTTTCTTCATTCTCCTCTTTCGTTTTCTATGTTTGGTTTCCCCACTTCGTTTCACTTTACTCTTTCTTCTTCATTATATCTATCCTGGCCAGCACACACATTTCCAGAACTTGGAAATTCCACTTCACACCGCCATCAATACAAAAAGGGCCACGCTGATTTCTGAGCTTGTGGTAGCTCAATCCCTGGGAAATCATATGTCCCCGAGAGCTACGCCAAAGTCGTGGCCAATCGAACACATTCAGCAGAAGAAGAATGCCGTAAGAAGACAAATAACCCTGGGGATACATAAATTTCCGGCCGTTGAGCGCGGAAAGAAATGCCCTAGGTAAGGATTTAATTGTAAATATCTATAGTTTGGGGGGAAATGCCTTGAGAACAACAAATACAGGTTTCCATAAAATTTGATTCATTCCCTGAGAAACACAAATATTGATGTATATATAACATATGTAGAATAATCCAAATGATAAGAATTAATTCTTACATCTCCGAAATGAAACACAGGCATCGGTATTGCCCATAATGCCTTCCTCCCATTGGCGAAACCTGTGGAATGTGTCGTTGTCACTGGTGTTATCAAGAGCTACTAGTTTGACCGTAGATTATCCTCAGTTTGGATAACTCCTAATCTTATCCGCTGTACCACCAAAAGAAACACTAGCATTGAGCCTGGGCTTTTTGGGCATTCTGCTAAGAATCGAAGACACTTCATCCGCATCTTCAACTGGGGTCGCAAAACTCCATTGCGCATCCTGATAGGCAACTTCATCAGACACCGTTGATACGTCAGAATCGTCTAAGGTGACGGCTTCGGATGAAGCCGTCCCTTGCTGAGACGCACAATGGTGTTGGGACTGGGCATCCAGGCGTTTTTCATTTGCCAACTTGATAAATCCATCGATCTTTTCCTTTGCCCAATCTCGAGCATTTCGATATGCGCATGCTCCTTCCCGAAACGTTTGCGGGTCGCTGGTCATCGACCAGCCCTTGAACTGGGTCGTAAAATATTCAGGACAACGGTTTGGACCTTCAGGCTCAGTGAGATGAGTGGTGTATAATTTTAGTGTGCCGCCATGATAAGTCGACGTAAGAGTGTAAGCGTTGTTGTCGTAGGCTGATTCGTCTTGTTGGTATGACTGGAGAGAGTGTATGCCTCGAGCTCCTAGTGCGCCATCATAACAAGCCTGCCGTGTAGCCACAGCCAAGGATCCATCGGGACCTTTTGCTTCCAAAAAGAAGTTTGCTAGCATCGGAAGATCATCCTGTGTTGATGGTATGATATGGTCACTAAGTTCTTTGCGGATTTGACGATCGAGCTGCTCAGGACGCGCACCATAGAAGTGATCTGGTTTGGCATGAGCCAGTGTGCCATCAGTTAAGGGAGCAAGATTTCCAAACGGGTATCCTCCTCCAGCGCATTTAAGATCACCGACATCGCCTTCAATGATAGGAATCACTGACGTTGTGACCGGTTGTTCTTTAGACGCGTGTGTATCCGCTCGTTTGAATTTCCGGAAATGCCCATCAGAGAACTTTGATGGTGAGAGGGAGGGTCTGGGTCGAGCTAATCTTTCATTGATCTCCTCCCAGTTATTTGGCATTGCTGGTATTCGACCCTCAGGATATTCATACCCATCAGGGTAAACGCCATGGTCGATTAGATTCTGCTGGAAGTTACGATTATAGGCCGTGGTGCTCGTGGTCTTTGTAGTGTCCTTGGTATCTGCAGATGATGGAGGAGATCTCGCACGCCGCTTTCTATTATGGGAATTGGATTTGCTCAATGGTTGATTGAGGAGGCTTCCAGGTTCAGAATACTGGGGTTCGAATTATTAGCGCTGTGTCAGTCTCGGATTTGTCGTCACATACATTTCTAAGGTCAGACAAGTCGGGACCTCCCAGTCTGGAAAGGCTCCCTATCTGTTTCAAAGAAGCGGGCGCACAATCGCGGAGAAAGTCAGGAGCAAATTGAAAAGGTTCGCAACGCTTCTTTGACTCAGCATAAAATCGTCGAGTGACAGGCCTATGACATATCTGGGGCGGTCCCAGGCAACTGTTTCTTCGGTCCAACTCTTTTAATGCGTCTTTAGTTAACCAAATCTTTGACAGGTTATCCCAATACGCTGATGCTGGCCCGCTGAGCTTCTGTCTTTTTAACTGATATCGCAACGCGTTGTACGGACGTGACTCAGGATGCTGACGCTTGCGAGATGGGTTGGAGGTCACTGAACAAAGCATATGGTGGTCATCATAACTTTTTGGTTTCTTTATAGTGCCAGTATGCATCGAGGGCCGAAGGAGCGGAGTTCTTATAATTAACTCCTTCCCAGGATAGCAGAATTACTTCAGGCGCTTATCCAAAAAGATTGTTGCCGAAGGCCAATCATGTGTGTACGCAGTAATGGCAGAGTGAGCCGGATCATGTGATGTTAATCCTTTCAAGATTTGTGTATGGTGCAAATTACGTTCTTTACTCATTGTACACCTTTTCTTTACTTTAGATGTCGAGTGCCTTTGTCTTTGCGTCGCCGATGAGCGATTCCATTATGGCTCTCCCTCTCTGCATATTCAGCTGTAGTTCCATGCTATATGACAGAACGTTTGACATCAACTGAAAATACAACGCCGAAATCAATCGAAATCAGCCGAAATCAACGAAAATCAGCAGAAATATTCCACTCCCTGCGACTGCTGGACCACAGTTTGGCTTAGCCTCAAAATTACCCCTCATGATACCACCCCCCCACCTTGCGCACATGAGGGTCCATATTAATATCAAACCTCGATCTAACCTCACAAGGTGTTTCTGCCCAACCTGTTCTCTTTTCGCTGTCGGTTTTACTAGAAGCTTCCACATCACATGGTCTTCACTGGGGGTTTATGGCCGTCATACTTCCTTGGCATCTTCGGGAGAAGTAGTCTTTGCCCTTAAATAACTCTCTGTTAGTCCTTATTAGGATATCCCCTTCAACGATCATTACCGTCTTCAAGGTATTTCCATTGAACGTCCCTCAAGAGATTTTAGGCTTACCACCCAAAAAGAAAGCTGTTGAAACCTACAACACCGAGGCTCAAACCGAAAAAAAAGGGAAAAGATAGACGCATCTGGGTCGACTAGACGACGATTTTTGCATCTCGGTGTACCTTGAAAGTGATGGTTTGCAAAGTTAAGGATCTGAAAACAAATAAGGAGGTAAGATGGTATTCAGCGCCCCTCTATACACAAGCTAATCAGACATTGAGTGGTATCCAGACCATCCGTGACGATATCAGCGACCCAGATTGGCAGCCTTTGGCAAACAATGTCAGAACAAAACCACCAGAAAATACCGTCTTCGTCGTCATCGATGTCAGGGATAAGCAAGGTGCGATTTTTGTGCACGAATCGGGGACCGATGAGTACGTGGGCGGGGTAGGAACGGACGAGCAAGGGAATGTAGTCATGATTCCTTGGAATCATAACTGGTATTATTATACCATCGGCGCCCTTCAAATAGGGCAGATCAAGAAGGCGGTTTAGGAGTGTCTGGGTCAGAGCTACCGAACATCATCTGTGGACGTTGTGTGGCAAAATGATTGCTTAGTTTCCTTGAGATAGGAATCGTTATGAATGGCGAAGCATTGGGATTGTATGTTATCGTTAACCATATTCTACCCTGTATCTGGTCAGACTGGGTCGCTGCTTGGGCATCCTGAGCTGTAAGTTGATACACGTCTCCAGTAAGAGATTCTTTGGTCGGGTCAGTAATGTAGGTAGAGAAAAAGCCTTGCGAAATATATTTACGGGTCGTTACCTACTTTCTGTCATCACCATATTTGACGCCTTTGCCAAAGAGGCTGACTCTCCGTCGACGCTCGGTAAACCCTTTGCAGAATATTGCCTGGCAAGCCGCTGTAGAACGGCACTCTCCAATGTGTCCTGTATCTCCTCTATCTTGGAAGGTAATGCAACTCGATCACGGTCCCTCATACTGACCACAGCTGAGGGTCCAAGGGAGACGGCGCACAGGACGACCATTGAGAGACCCATTTTATGGACGCTTTCAAGGAACTCTAAGTAGATGTTTTGTCGTTTGGAGATTTGCGAGTCGGTCGAATCTGGTTTACCAGAAAGTAGGGCAACAGCTTCTCTGATACGCTTTGCTTCTGGAGGTTTGACTTTCTCTCTGAGTTGAACAATCTTAGCACCGTCAACTAACTTAGCCAAAGCTTTTTTAACAGCTTCACTGGGTTCGACTTGCTTGCGCATTGTTGAAGCCATCGTTGATTTTCAGTGTATTCGGGTGAAGAGAAAAAAGAATACGGTCAAAATCGTTTGATTTTGGTTGAAGTCAGTTTGCTTCGCTGGTTTTAATAGGAACCTAGCAAGAATCAATCAAACGCAGCCAAGTCCGCGCTAGGCAGATGAACGTGACGGTTACAATCAATTGATTTCGGTCGAAATCAGAAACTTTCTCCGGGTATATACGAAAATGGGGAGAATCCGATAGAATCCAATAGAATACGGCCAAGCTCTACCATTCGTCTGCCGCAATACATGAACACTGCTTGTATCTTTCCTGAGCTGTCTACCAAATCGAGCATCCAAATCGAGCATCCAACCGGAACCGATGACCATCCACCTGTCCCTTTACTGATAGAGCATCCCTGGCGTCCAGATCTCGCAAAGATATTTGCGGCGTGTGGGCAATGCGTCTCGCATACTCTAGTTCAATCCCATGTGGGGGAAGAGAAGTTGATAGATAGCATTTGAGAATGGAGTACCTCTCCGTTCAGAGCAACATAAAAGGGAGCAAGATGCACCCCGAATCCTGAGGCAGAGACAAACACTCAACAGAATCAATCCCAATCCTAATCCCAATCCCAACACGACAATTCTTAACGTTCTAACCACGCCACGATGAAGCCCAATCCCCAAGTTTTCCCCGCACGCCCCCAATCCTCTCCCTCTTCAACGCCACCTCCCAACTACAGTAATCCTTGCATTCCCAGCTTCGTAACCAGGGAAGAGCTCAAGGACATTCTGGTGGAGGTCCTCCGAATGAAAGAATCATCGAGTCCTTTCACAATCTACTGCACAATCTACTGCTCCTAACCCAACCGCCGAACCAGACACAAAAGCGAACGAGAAGGAATCGGCCAAAGAAGTGACCCGAGCATCAAAGTTGGAATACACAACCGTGAATGAAATGTAAGCTCAGTCCAATCTTAGAGAAGACCGAGCTGACCATTCTCCAGCTGGAACAAGAAGCAACATCTTTACGAGATTGTGAAAGACGACGTGGATTCGTCAGACACATGCGACAGATACAAAGAATATGTCTTCGTCAATCGACGCCGACATGGTAGGTAGTAATCATATGGATCAAAGACCAGGATCTGACTTCTTCAAGACCGCAATACAAACGAGATCAAGACCTACCTTGACTATAAATCGCCCGAACTGGTGGATATCCTTCGACATGTGTTGCTAGATGTAAGCGCCGTCAGTTTGCGGGAAGATAAGCCATCGGTAATCCATCAACCCATAACCCCCGCAGGTGCATCGGTCTAACATCGACAGGTGCTGGTTGATGTCCTCTTCCAATTTCTACCGGAGCTCGAGGGTTTCTACAAAACCCTTGAAGCCGAATCGACTGCTGGAAAACACCTTTACCTACTGATTGAATTTTTGAAAAGACACTTCTCTCCGTTGAGAGATCGCTTAAACCCCCTGTTGGACCATCAAGAGATTACTTTTGAACTCCTCTGGGCAATGTTCAAGCCAAATGAGCTTATCTTTATGGTTGACCCATGTTCCGAGCAGCCTCGGTGTTTCGTTTATGACTCGGGTGAATTCATATTGAGCCCCCAAGGGGATCACTTCGAGATTGAATGTCGGTCGCTCGACTACGACGGAAAGGTATTTGGTGAGGTGACAACAGTGCTTCAGATCCCGAAATTTCGATCCGCTAGAAAGATATCCGACCTAGGGGCCTTCCCTCTGAAATTTCATAATCGCAAAGCCAAAATCGAGGCTGAGCTCTCTGAGCGAGGCCGCAAGTTCAAGGGCCTTATGGGCGTCGCTTACTGCGAATATGAAGGTCTTGCCCATCTCAAGACGAATAAAGGCCCATTCAAATTCCACGTGGCTGGCCGGATGATGGTTGACGCCTTAGCTTTTAAGGAAAAGAACCCGAACTACGGATTCTCACGGGTAAAGGAAGAGAGCACAGGCGGGTTTATTATATTTTCTGACAGTGGATATGAAAAAGAGAAGGACCAGAAGACGGTGAAGCCTCGAAATCTAGATGCCAAGAACATGACAGACAGGGAGTACATCCTCTGCAGCCCCACGGTCCTGGGCTTCAGTCTCAGCAAAAGGGTTTGGGGTCAGTGCCAACATTTTCCCAATACTTTAGCTGCGCTAATGTGACATGAGAACAGCGGAATTCGCGATTTCAAATATCCGTCCCATTGACTGGAGCCAGCTATCATCGTTCGATCACTTGGAGATCCCTAAGGTAAAGAAAACCATGATCCAGACGATGGTGGAGAGCCACAGGCCTGGCTCGGAGATATCGTCCTTCGATGACATCGTCGTCGGAAAAGGGAGGGGCCTCATATTCTTGTTGTAGTAAGTTGCCAGAAAGCTGTCTTGCTGGATCATCCGGTTAACTCTGCCATTTCACAGTGGGCCTCCTGGAGTTGGGAAAACGTTGACGGCGGAGAGTACTGCGGATCTCCTGAGAAGGCCGCTCTACTCGGTTTGTCCCTTGGCTCCCAATGTGCGATCTCGTTCTAATTGCAATAGGCATGCGCTGGTGATTTCGGAATCAAAGCGGATGATCTGGAAGAACATCTGTCTCGAGTCCTTGACCTCGTCCGTCGCTGGGATGCGATATTGCTTCTAGACGAAGCTGATGTCTTTCTGAGCGAACGCAGCGTCAACGGCCTGCATCACAACGCTCTCATCTCTGTGTTTCTCCGCTCGCTCGAGTATTTCGAAGGGATCATGTTCCTTACTACCAACCGGCACACCACGCTGGACCCGGCAATGCAAAGTCGGATACACGTCGGTATAAAATATGAATCCCTGAGTTGGGAAGCCAAATCCCGAGTGTGGAACAAACAGTTGAGCAATGCTGGCGCTAAAATCTCGAAAAAGGAGTTGGAGAAACTGCTGAATAAAAGCTCAAATGGGCGACAGGTAAGCAGTCAATATCCATATCATATGCGGTGACTGACATGGCAATCCAGATCAAGAACATTGCCCGAGCTGCATTTGCACTGGCCAAGGGAGGGGAGGTCACCATCACGCATATCGAGACAGCTCTGAACTGCGCCGAAGAATTTGATCAGGACTTCCATGGCGCGGGAGCGCTTGATAATATGAGAGCATACACGTGACGATTGATCGGTATGCTATGAATGATCGCGGCTATTGGTGGTGGTTTCCTTTTTAGTAAACGTATCTCGGGCTTGGAAATCGCCTGCATCAGTGTAGCGGATGCGTGGCCGATCTTTAGATTGGAATTTCGTGGAATATTGAACTGGTGCAGTCCCAAGCGTACTTGGATGAATGGAACTTCTTGTACTTTCTATGACGTAAGCTGATCTGCAAGTCTTGGCGAAACACCAGACGAAGATAAAATAAACCTCCAAGTCAGTATGATGAGAGACTATTTCTGTAATTAGGAGTCTTCATGATGTATTTCATCTTTCCGTAGCTGCATATTGTTAGGGAACCTTCCAGATGTTTCTATGCCAGAGGTAGCAAGAAAAGAGCAGCATTACAATGCCTAATTCGGAGACTCGGTCCTTCGCTTTTCCTCCGCTCCTGCATTGTTTTGAATAGTTCTATTAATAGCATAAGATGGTAAATACAAAATTGGCTCTTTCTGAGCTGACCTCAATATGAATCCAGACTGAACTCAGAGAATTTCCTAGAGTGTACTGTACAGTACAGTAAAAATTATCATATTTTTTGAATGATAAGAGTGACCGCATTTAAGAGTAAAATGGCCCCTATACTATTGAGGTATGTTGGGTGACCAGGCTGCGCTTTCGATCGTGGGGCCAAAAAGTGGCAATCTTCGGTCACTGACCCTGGTTGGAAATATCCAAGGAGGCCCTGCGCCAAGAGAGCGAATACCAAAGTTCAGCATAGTGCTGTCGGGCTGCGGTTTATATATTTTCCTTTGTGTTGGGTAGGCAGTAAGCTCGTACATGTAATTGAAGACGTCCAAAGATAACCCGAATAGGGAGGGTCAGTGGAAATGAATAAACCAATCAAATCAAAAATCAATTAAGCTCCATGCTTAGTCATTTGTTTTGGCCAAGAAAATGTTTGGTGGTAAAATTAGCATACCACCCTGTAACTTTCCCTCTCTTTGCAATTCCTCGCACTAACTTAAGGGTCTTTTATACCATCAAAGTGGCGGGACTTTCACAAGAAGATCGCAACATTATCAAGAACCATCCTCTAACCAATTCAGATAGAAGCGAAGGAGAGGACAGAGGTAGTAAGGGGAGATGGTGATCTTCCAATCATGATTCGCTTGCTACCTCTCGCCCTACAGCTGCTTGACCAACTGTTGTGCTTTGCGTTATCATTGGCTCATGTCGGACCATGACTCTAACCGCATCTGCAACACAACGGGTTGGTTTCCAAGGTTGGCCTACATTAATCCTAAATGGGAATAGCCGATGTTCTCAAATACGATTTCAATGCCCCTATTTTGTTCGCGCTGATTACCATTCCTGTCGCGATCGAATAGGATTAATCTCCACCCAGTTCATTGCTCGGCGGCTCTATTCGTTCTTTCATTCACGTACTGCATCAAAGCCAAGCCGGATCAACCCTGTGGCCATAATCCTCCCTTTGATTATATATACCAGCATTCGTTCCCAGCGAGCTATCTTCTCTCGCAGATATCATACATCATAACTTGCTAACAATTCTGCAGTTTGCTTCCCATTCATCATATATGGCTGAGCTTTCGGACCACGATTGCGATATCATCGCAAACCATCCTCTAAGCGACTCACTATACCGATTACAAGATCTACTTCAAGAGGCAGAACAAGCATATAATGCTACCACTGACCCTCAAGATGCAATCTGCCAAAGGGCAATATCAAAGCTTCTCACCACCTTGATGGGGGAGGAAGCCGCATTCAACCTTCGTTTTCCAGCAAGCAATAAAAATGTGGCATCTGAGCTGTCAAGATTGTTCACCTGCCTTCAAGATGGCGACTTCAGCTACGAACACTACCGCACACTAGTACGACTTAAAATCCAAAAGGCGACCAATGTCGATATCTGGAAAGCTGTCCTCGACCTCATCACCACCGTCTCGCGAGCAACCCCTCCGCCCCGAACCGTTTCATCCATTCCACAAACTCCCTGGCTGCGCAACACCAGCAGTTTCGTCAACTCTACAGAATATCGAAAACACGTTGATGCTGTGCTGAAGGAGGAGCTTGGAGAGATACACGTCGATATCCCTGGGTTCTTTGACGCGTACTTTGGAAACATTCCACAACTCACTGCAGCTTCACAAGCGGTGTTGGAAAGGGTGCAAGAGGGGAGACAACCCACTTTACGGTGAAGAGGAGGGCTGGCGGGGCTGGCCTGAACTTGCGGCAGAAAAAGACGTTCTGGGATGGCTGGCTAACATCATCGCTGAGCTCGTACGATTAGCCGAAGCGCAAGAGCCGTCCTGGAAGATCGACCGCAGACCTCTCGCACAGCCAAGCCAGCCACTACAGGGGTCTATCGCGGAGAGAAAGCTCGATATCGGCTTTGTCGATGATCCGACGGCCACAGAAGACTCCAGATGCCGCTGGTCGCAGATCCTGGTGCCAGGAGAGCTGAAGAATGACCCGAAATACGACAGGAAATCCGGGGCATGGTTTGATCTTGGCAGGTATTCCAGGGAGGTCCTTTCTGCGCAGGACACTCGTCGTTTCGTGCTGGGGTTCACCCTTTGCGGGCCATTTCTGCGACTATGGAACTTTGACCGCCTGGGCGGGATCGCGTCGGAGGAGTTCAACATCAACCAGGACGGCCTTCAATTTGTGTCTGTTGTCCTTGGATTCCTCCTGATGAGCCGGGAGCAACTTGGGTTTGATCCCACCATCGTCACGACCGGAACCGAACGGTATATCGAGATTGAGAAAGACGGTACGAAGGAACGGCTGATCATCGACGGGATTGTCGGACGAGCACGCTGCGTCGCCGGGCGAGCCACAACCTGCTGGAAGGCACACTGTGAGACTGACAAATTACGGACGCCGCTGGTTGTCAAGGACTCCTGGCAGTATCCGGAACGCACTGAGGAAGGAGAGTTGTTGCGAGAAGCGATGGCGAAGGGGGTCAAGAATGTGGCGAGGTACTATCACCACGAAACCGTTCGCATTGACGGCAAGGTTGATGATGTCTTGGCTTTCCGAAAGGGCCTCAGTATTCCGACGAAAGATGAGAAGGGTGGCTTTAAGGCGACAGTGCGGCGTAGTATGTCTCAAAGAGGACAAAAGAGCCAGGGCAGCACCGCCGGCCAAAAGCGATCCTCTGACTGCGTGGACACAGCGCTTCCTCCTCCCCCAAGCAAACGTACCCAGTCAAGTTCTCCGTCCAAACCTGCCGGCGGCTCAACCCAATTAAACCGAGTGCACCGCCGCGTCGTTATCCGGGACTACGGGAAACCAATCTACCAGAGTAGCTCGAAGGCAGTTCTGCTCGCTGCGCTGGCCGGCTGTATTGAAGGATACATGTCACTTCATGACGAGGCTGGCCTCATCCAATGCGACGTTTCCCCCCGGAACCTGATGGTGAACGAAGACAAGGACAACCCATCATGGCCTGCCTTTCTGATCGACCTTGACCTGGCAATCAGGGTACAACGGGATGCGTCTTCCGGCGCACGGGGCAAGACTGGCACAAGAGCGTTCATGGCCATCGGTGTCTTGTACGGCGAAAAGCATTGTTTCATGCATGATCTGGAGTCGTTCTTCTGGGTCCTGTTCTGGATATGCATTCACTATGACGGCCCAGGGAAGGGAAGCACTGTCGAGCGGTTTGAGAAATGGAATTATATGAGTACTGAAGAGCTGGCGGCTGCAAAGCAAGGAGTGATAAGTGAGGAGAGCGACTTTCTTAGAATTGCTGGAGACTATTTCACACCGAGCTATCAGTCCTTGATCTCTTGTGTCAACCGTTTACGACGGCTTGTCTTTCCAAACGGCGGACGGTGGAAGAAAGAAAATTCCAATCTATCCCGGAACATGATTGAAACGCTTCAAGATGCGGAAAATAACCCAAACATTGTAAACTAATGCAGATTCAGTGTATATGTTGATAGCGTATTGTAGCGTGACTTGCTTTTTGTTTGTGTTTTGATATAGCATGCATTTGAGTAAGAGTGAGGATGGACATGATTTGTGAGAACCGCAAGTTTCCTTTTATTATATATATCTCTATTGTACAAAACTAGTTCTCTAGGCTCCGTTGATATTCCAACGCTAGTTTCTCCCGAGCGCGACCCCGCACAACAGTTCCGTGGGCCTCCTCTGCATGGCTTAGAAGAGCAGATTTGGCCGGGAGCAACTTCCCCTCACAAACATTGCACTCAACCCCAGTGGCCGGCCATGGAGGGTTGATATGTCTTCGTAGAAAGTGCCTTGTAAGTGATCCGGGTGTTGCGTATTTCATAATGCGGTCCTCCAGCGCGCAACTAGGATTCCCAACGCAGAGAAAGCAAACGCGAGGCCGAAAGCAGGTCTGAGGCTGTTCAGCTGTAGACTTGGCCTGCACAGACTCCATTGCTTGGTGCAAGAGGACCTCAGTGTTATCCTTTACCGAGCACCTCTGCCGCTTGGTCGGAGGACAAGGGTCATCATCGACCGTGGGCCGGCGCGAGGGCCGCCCTTCCTCCACGCCACAGAATGCAACTCCTGCGTTGATTGTGTTGATCCTCCGCTGATATTCCGCTTCAAGATTAGCGCCCGGCATGGTCAGCACGCAGTCAACAAACATCAAGTGCTCGGGAGGCATGAAGGCCTCGTGCTCGAAAGTGTCCATGACTTTGGTATCCACCAGCTTCCCGGCCAGTTGTCGTTCAAGGTCAATCACAGGCTGCTCATTCTTATAGCGCTCAAGGTTCTCACGGATCCGTCGGTTCCGCTGCCGCTGCTTCTCGTTACGCAGCTCACGGATAGCCCTGTTCTTCTCCGACTTTGCTTCTGCTGTCCGATCACGGAAAACTTCCAGTCTCTCCAGCACCTCAGGGTTGGACTCGGCGAGTAATCTGTCGTCAAGGTGCCCTAGAGCAGTCTTGCACACCTTGTTGGCACGTTCTAACTCGGCTTCACGATCCTCCGATTCACGCTTGCGCTTCTGGAGAGTATCCTGACGGCCAAGGACAACTGGAAGGTAATTGAGGGACCGTGATTCTTCTGGAGAGAGCTTATACGGTCGGTTGGGGTCGATGGATGCACTCATCGAGCAGGCAAATCGCACCAATGCTGTTTGGGAGCCTGTTTTCCGGACTATTCCCTGCGCGTCAACGTCGACGTCCACCTGATAATGCTTGACGAAGGTGCGAATATCCGCGTGCTGGAGCATGACGTTCTGAAGAGCTTCCGTAACTTCCTCTGTTCATCGTTAGCCCTCCGACATGACTGCAACATGAAGAAAACGGAGGGCTACTTACCGCTGTTGTTAAATGCCTTAGCTCCAGCATATCGGAGGTTGTACGGGTGGGCGACCTCCTCAAAGCCCGTGATCTCACCGGCTCGGCGCATCCGGGAACTCACCATGGATGGAGTCATCCTCTGATCCAAGCAAATTTTAAATCCGGTGGATGTTGGCTCCGTCTGGCAAAACACAAACTTATCCAGTAATTCATCCTTTAGTAGTAGCGGCTGCTGCTGTCCCTTGCCATCCAGCACCTTGGCGCTGTAGAGTTTCTCTGCGCAATCCAGCACTGGTCCACTTGTTGAAATTGACTTGAATCCTCCAATGTGAAAGAGCAGAGTCAGCAGGCAGATATGCGGGCTGAGAACCAGGGTTGGGTCAAAGATGATTTCCGGAATCTTAAACTCGTTCCTATCAATTCTGTCAGTCAACCAGGCCATGCCGCGAGGATCAGAAACACATACGGTGCCTTATCTCCGAGAAATCTTTTAGTAAATTCTGGTTTTAAGAATATGAACAATCGGGGGCGTCCGCCGTCTGGAACGCGGATCAGGGTTAACACGACGTCTCGATACCGAAGATGGAGGATCGCCGAGGGACGGCTGGCGGTGATGGCTGCAAGCTGCAAGAAGAGAAGCATTTGAATGCGCTGCCAACCGCAGACAAATGTCATCTCAGTGGTGGTGAGAACGACTTGAGCGAACTCAGCAACATCTTCAATGTACATGTTCTTCTTTGGCCGCTCAACAAGAGCCAGCTCTTTTTCTGTGGCCACCTGTGCAACAACCTGCAAGAGATTAGTGGTGCTTCGGGTTAAGTGATCCGAGGAGAGAGAGTATAGGTGCTCACATCCTGTAACCTTGACAATTGTATCTTTGCTGAGTCCCGATGCCGTTTCCTGTTTGAGGACAAGGTGCCACCACTTCCAAAATGTCTCCAGTGAGCTTTTGCGCTTAATGCCCGGACAGTATCGATTGTTCTTGCCACGACGGATATCACACCGCCAGCTAAAGAATGCATACAGGAAGCGAACCGTCTCCTCTGAATTAGAGATCCGATCCCATTGCCGCTCCGCGTTAGCCTTGATGTGCCGACAATACCTGCCCAGCGCCACTGGTGAGCTTATAACACAGTCTAAGGGTCAAATGAGCCACTGCCTACCTCTCCCAGTAACCACGGGTCTCATCGAGTTTTTCCTGGGTTCTGGGGCTGTACCGCTTCTGTCTCGAAGCTGAGCGATATCAAGGCTCTCTGCTAAGGCCAGGTAGTGTTCGGGGGGGAGCTGGCCGTCGTCGTCGTCTTCATCGTCGCTGACGGAGCCACTTTCATACCCACTGTCTGAAAAGATGGCATCCAGTGCGGAGAGGGTATCCAGAGCAGACCTGACATCCGTCTTGCTCCTGCTCTGCTTGTCAGGCCCGGCCAAACAAGAGAGAGGCGCCATGATCAGGACGGCCCAAGGAGAGAGCCGACAGGAGAAAGGGACAGGAACAAGTAATGAAAGACTTAGACGCTTTCCTGGATAGAACTGGCCCGGTAGTGCTGCGAAGGAGGGGAGGGAAGGGAGCCGCAGACGGCATGGTGAGAGTGACGGGGACTGGAGGCAGAGAGAATAACATGATCCATGATCTGGGGAGGGAGCCAAATCCGACAGAGTGAAGCGTCAAAAACGGCTCCCCTCCCCCTCCCAAAAGAAGGGCAGTGGGTGAGCGAGGGTGAGCGAGGGTGACTGGAAGCCACGAAAATGCACTTCTGTTTAAAATCGTGGCCACGCGTGGAGGGAAGGGTCGCGGCCGTGGGGATAGATTCACGTGATGATCGAGGTTGGGCGGTTAGCGGGAGGCCGAAAGCAGCGGCGAAAACAGCCATTTGCAGCCTCTGGCCAACCGTGACATCGTTATATGGAGAATTTAAAAAGATTCAGATTGTAATTTAATTATAATGATATATAATATTTAAATTTCAAATTCAAAAGCTAAGATAATATGAAATTTATTGTTATTATTACAAATAATAAATAAAGACAATTTAATCTTCTTCAACTGTGATTGTCAGATAGAACTCTTTAACTCATTTCTTATTATTGAAAATATACTCACTGTTAATTTTGTTTTGCTCTGGAGCAGCTCTTTTTGGCCTGTTTCGCGGCCATTTTAGGCCGCTCCAGCGCAACGCACTCCGTCCACGGCACACAGCCCAACCGCCACGCACCAACCATCGTGCACATGTGATCGCACGGTCGGTGAGCGACGACCTACGCGCTGCTCGCGCTCGCAGTCACCCACACTCTTTCTGGTTCCTTCCATGGCCACCGTTTTGTATTTCATGGCACCAGGAACGAAACCCCTTGATTTTCGGCCTCTTTCAGTCACCCTGCTCATCCGCTAAATCCATCATGGCTCTACATAAGAAGGGCCAACCGCCCCGATGCCTCAAAGGCATTCCCTCCTACATTTCGTCCCCTCCATCGCCGTTTCTACATTGAGAGTAGATATTCATCTGCACAGCTAGCAAGCCTGCCCTTCTGCACAGCAAAACTCGTCTACTAGTCTCTGCTCCTCATTCCTGCCTGCGTCGCTGCTCCCTCCCTGCCTCACCGTTTCATCGACCATCCTCGGTTGGGCCATCACGGCGCCGTGAACATGGCAAAGCGTTGTCGAAGCCGAGTGACATCCAGCAATGACGATGGCACGGCTGACGAGACGTCCCCCATGGACACGGACAGCGAGTCCGATCGAGGATACGAGACAGAGCTGACTGATCCTGATTCCGATGTGCCTCGCGACAGACGCAGGGGCAAACGCAAGCGTCGACGACTGCGCTATAGGCCCAACGCACCAGTCCCCAAGGAGGACGCAGCCGCCGCCGCTACCGACGACTCGGATGATGATACGGACCCCGAGGATGATACCGAAGACGACATATCGTCGGGGGATGAGGATGACGACTACTCCCCTGGCACCAAGCTCCTCATCGCTCGCATGGAGGATCACTGGCAGTGGTCGGCTCTCTCTCCCTCTGAACCGCAACCTCCCCAATCCAAGACTGACAGAGAACCATCTCCCAGATACTGCAGGAAAAAGGCGAAGACGTCCGCGGACCCCAAGTGGCGGGATCCGGTCGACGCTCTCCGCGGCGCAGGGCGACGCGACCTGTACCTGTTCTTCAACTGGCGTTTCAAACTGAAGCTGGGGAAGGGAGGCCGTCGACTGAGGGGGACGAAAAAATCGAGCGCCCTGAAGGGCGACTGGAAGAACTTCCTGCGCTACTACGAGGGTGCCACTGGCACCAAGATCGATGCAAAGCTGATGCGGCTGACGCGGAAGGTAAGTCCCACTCCCCATCGGGCGCCGATTGGCGAGGCTGACCGTCGTGGAAGAGCCTCCGACGACTGGCCAAGAAGCGCGGGCTGGACGTGCAGGAGAAGGAGAAGACCCCGGTGTATGTTGAGGACATGTCTCCACTCCAGGAGACCACGCTGCGGACGCAGGAGAAGAGATTCTGGCTCGGGCTGCAGCGGATGCAGATCTGCCTCTACAACCTGCTGGGCCTCTTCACGCTGAACCGGAAAAGCGCCATCCTCGCCCTGCGATATAAGGATTTGAGGGTGTCTCTGCAGTGGGACCCTAACGGCGGGCCCCACCTCCCGACGGTGGAATTCAGCTATGAGTTTACGAAGAAGCACCTCGGCCTCACACAGACGTATGCACTCTCCGGTATCGTCCTTGAATATACATGCCAGCTGACAGCTGACCAGGAACACCTTCATCCTGCCTGAGATCATCTACGACCCGTCTCTGATCCTCAGTCCGCATAACTTTCTATTTGGCATTCTGTTCTTCTTTGGTGCCTTCAAGGCCACCAATCTCACCTCGATGAAGAAGCTCAGAGGACTGAAGATTGGGGGTGGCCGACAGCAGAAACCGATCCCGCTGAAGCCGGAGATGGCCAACTACTATGTCTTCTGCAGGGTGGAGAAGGTGGATGGTAAGGTCCGCATCCTCCCCGAGGATAAGATGGACCCTTCGTCCGCCATCCGTACGATTGCCGAGATCTGCGGTTTTCTGCACCCCTGGTTCAACCATCGCTGCCGGTACGGCGGGGGTAAGATCCTCAACCGGAGTGGTAAAGACCCCATCTCTTTCTCTCCAGACGGAGTGCGTGGGAAGCAGAGGCACTGATACAGAATCATGCAGGATTGGTCGGTGATGCCGAGCAGAATCTAGTCCTGAAGCATGCCAGCATCCGCACGTTCCTGGACCACTACCTTCCGCGCCTGGTCGACATCAATATGCAGCCACTGATCAGCGGTCAGGATCCCAACTCTCCTCTGATGCGAGCGATCACGCGGATCGGCCGCTGGCTGGACAAACGGCGCCCACGGCATCTGACGGATGCGCAGAAGGCGACCGTGGAGCAGGACCCAGAGCTGCAGGAAGCCATCCTGAAGAGAGATCGGGCTGAACAGCGTGTCATGCAGACCAACAGCCCCAAGGGAGTTGAGAAGTTCGAGAGACGGAACGATGATGTCAAGAAGACAAGAAACCGTCTTCTCTACAGGTACAGGAAGCAGGTCTGGGAGGAGTTCGACGACGAGCAGGCTGTGATCGACATCGAACGCCAGCTCTCGGGCATGGCGTTGAATGAGGAGGCAAAGGAGACGCTGCAGGAGGAACAGATGCTCCCAGCGCAGATCCATCTTCTCGAGAATCTCCTGACGTGGCCGACATCCAGATCGGTGGAGAAGGAGTTGCGGCGACGGGACGCCGGGGTCGAAGCCGTCCGGATGTACTGTGGTGTCCTCGAGGGCGGGCCGCGCCGGGGAAGGAGACCAAAGCCGAACCCGCCCCTGGCCCCGCAAGCATCCGACGACACTGACAACAGGAACGATAGGCCGGATGAGGATGCGCCTAACGGTTGGGACGATGCCCTCCGTGCCGCCGAGGAGCACATCCGCCATGCGGAGAAGCCTCGGGGTTGTTTTGAGTGTTTCGCACATCCCGGGTCGTCGGATCACCGGCGCATTTATCAATACTCGCGACCGGCGGACCTGGGCAGGCATTTTCGGGATGATCTCCTCCGGCATCTCAAGGACGGCGAGCCGGCGAGGTGCAGCTGGTGCGAGATCAAATTGGAACACAAGATGCATGTGCAGAGCCATGCAAAAAAAGTCCACCGAGTGCACACGTAGGGTGGGCAATTGTATTGACTTGCATTTTTTCTTTTCCCTCTATCCCCTTTCATAGTCATTAGAATATCATGTAGCATCACATGCTTAGTGCGCTAGCTGGCTAGCATCTCATTGACTGTATTAGACACGAGCTGCAATTGGAAGAAGCCACCGATGCCTGGCAACTGAGCTAAATTTACTGAGATGCAGATCGCGTCTGCGGAACATAGCATCTAAAGAATGATACATAGACGTAGTATGGCTAGTGTCTTGTATTGAGTAGGTCTCCCCTTACTGTAGGCTACATTCTTACAGATTTGACTATAATCGCGAAAAACACACTGTCTCGTGAATGATTCCACCCCTATTCAGGAACCAAAAAGGGAGAGAACTGAGGTGCAGCCACAAGGTCAAATTGCGTACATGTCTTTCCTTATATTGTAATCTCCGCTTGGCGTCCTCCTGGATCCCGTATATCACGTGATATAATGGCCGACTGGTCGCCCTAATCCATTCTGGGTCAAAATGCTTACGTGAGCCATAGCTGGCCCTCCATTAAACAAAACTGAACTTCCACTTCTGTCATCCAGCAGTCGCATCGGTGTATCCCAGTTCTCGAAACCGGCCACATGAAACATCGCCTCCTTCTTGCCCAATCTATCTATACGGAGTATTTGCTCGGATAATGCACGTATGACCATTTTTGTGGTCGTCCTTTTAACCACGGGCGGCTTGTAGTGCCTCCCCCCCTCCGCCCCCAAAACCTCCCTTTCCCCTTTTTTTTTTTTTCTTTTCTTTTTTTTTTTACCCCTTCAAATAAACCCCCACCTCAAAGGATGGTACGTATATTACATACCTCGGGACCCAGAACCCAACAATTTGAGTTTTTCATCATTCTACCTTTGCCCATTTGACTGACCCTGCTGCAGTATTCAAGGACGAGGTGTGAGCAAGCCGCCGCACTCGACGCCTCGAGGGTTCAGCTTGCTTCTCGTCCCAAAAATACATGCAGCGCGAAATAAGACTCCGCCGTAACAAAATCTTCTGGCGGGGTTAAGGTTCAGATGCTAGCCCATGTACGGACGGAAAGGTCCGCAGCCGCTTAGTGCACTGTCGCGTCCGATATGCACAAACATTTTGTGATATGTAATATCGACGCCTATTTGTTGGTTGGCCATCCCAACCCAGTAGTGATGGTCTAGATATTGGCGAGGGAATGACACTGAGGCAACCGATGACCTGAACCAAACCTCGCCGTCAATGCGCTTAGAGATCCACTACGGCTCACGGCTTCCGGCTGTGGCTTAATTATCGGATACATCTATCTCCACCCCAAACTGACTCTGGAGAACAGTTTCGTCGATCCAGTTCGAAATATGATCGTTATCTCCTTGGGGTTAGTTCTAGTAGGTTTTTCTATGAAGAATACGCGTGGCTGCAGCGGGAAGATGTGTCCTGCGACGGGTCTCGAATTTCAATAGGCGTCAATCAGCTCTTTACGGTCATAAACGGACGATCATAAGGCCGTTAACATCGGCCCCCGAAGAGGGGCTGGCCCGAATATGACCACGCCAATACGAATACATGGTGGTCCCTTTAACGTCTGTTTCTCGGGAATCACGCGGTCAAGCTGCTCTACACCGTAAAAACCGTCAGGGACAGAGGACGGGGTGTGAGAGAAAGAGATGAGAAGAGGAATAGATGACAGCCACTATCTATCAAGCGTGAGCCATAGCAGGGAAGGAAAAAGAAAGGCGCCATGGCGCTACATGATCAAGTTGTGGAAAAGATGGCGAGATACTGTTTTCCAGGCCTTGCTTGTTCTTACGCGTGTTTTGGTGGTTCCCAGCCCTTCAACCGCCCAGTTAATTAACTTTTCAATCAAGTTCGAACGCACCGCTACCGATTCTGACCAAGAACCTGTTCTTTCTTCCATTGCTAATTTCTCACCTCTTGCCTTTCGTGAATTTTCTCATCTCCCATGTGCTCCTCAGTCACTCGTCCTGAAATAGATTCTCGTTCTCTTCGATTCAAGCCTTATCCAGCTTTCGTTTACGAGCGAAGAACCCCCCGATTTCACTCCCTCATTCAAGAAACGGTCTCCAGGAAATCGAATCTGGCTCCTTCTCTTAGGATATCTTGACAGCTTTGTCTTTGCAGAGGTCAAGTCGGTTCTTCGGGGTTCAGGTGTGCGGCAGCTGTGCAGGTGCAGAATGTCTGTTGGATCTGGTGTGAATGTCACCACAGCTCCGGCGCCGGCAATGCTAACCCCCAACGATAATAGTAGCAACAACGTACATGTCCCGTCTTTGTCCTCATCTTCTTCCTCAATATCGGATAGTGAACACGACCGAAAATCCAGGGCCAAGCGTCCACGTCTGGCACGTCGAGAACCCAGTGCTTCCATCCTTGTCCCTCGCAATCACCCAGAGATCGAGATTGAGGAGGAGGAATTTCCCCCGGATGATGCTCGGGCAATGAGCCCGAGAAGTAAATCCCGCCGACGTGGAGAAACTAGCCAGAGATGCTCGAGAAATTCTTCAGCGGTGTGTACCTACCTGTTCTCGCCGCTGTCGGTCCCTGATTGTCAACTGCGATTCTGCTCCCGCGAACTGGGTTGATTGCTGACATGGTGGATGATCGCAGACAAGCAGAGACCTTGCAATCGACGTTGAGGGCCCTGGCGGAACGCATCGATGAGCTCAGGTCAGATCACAACAATCTCGAAAATGAGAATCGATTTCTACAGCATTACATTGGAAGCCTCACCAGAACTATGTCGGCGAAGACAGAAAGAAGGCATAAAAATGATCGACCGCGGTCGACAAAAAGGGCGGAAGGGTGAAATAGCCCGGCTGCCCTTTGCCTTCCTACTCTGCAAATCATTCCCTCCGCTTCCCAAAAATGACAAACGGCCGCGAGCGACGATGAGGAAATCCCTGGAAACTTATAAAGTTCATATCGCCATAGCCGTAATGTTGACTGCTGACATTAGGAATGAAACTCTTGCTGTGATGTTGATGCTACACAGACTTGGCAAACTGAAGAGTGTCAGTATCAAGCATGTATAACTCAGGAATAGTCATTGTATCTAACTTGAAATCAGACACCGGGATGACAACCCTGTCCGCAAATCCTGCTCCCGTCGAGAAGATAAGGAATGGGTTATTAGTGCAGAGATCTCGGGTACAAACGGCAGGAAGGTCTGCCATATTTATGAGGATGGGACTGGCACAACTAACAACGTGGTGACGACAAGGAAAGGACAAGGAGGACGAGGAAGAAAGAAAGAAATTGAGTTGCTAACAAGCATAGCGCAAAGAAAGAAACTATCTACAATATCCATAACAATGGCTTTCCGAGTATGCCAAGATCTAAACGCTAAGCCAAGAGCGGGGGGCCTGGATGGTGGAGCCAAGAAGACGCTCTCAAGCCTACTACCGACCCAGAAGGGCACTCCTGAGACGTGCGACGACATGAGACGCCCACACAGACAGGTCGCGGGTCTCGTGACTCCTTTTGTCTTGAGACAATTGTCACAAGACAGTGGCAGTCCTAAGACGATCTTCCTGGGCTATTCTTCATGGCTCTCCAGTCACATGTCCTGCCTCTTGGGTCTACACTCATATGCTTGCCAGCACAGATCATATTCTATCTTAAGTCTGCTCTTTCATGACAAAGTATGACTTGAGCCAGGCGGCACAGTACCTACTGCAAAACAAGACTATGCCGGTCTTGAGAGTCTCTTCATAGATTGCTAAAATTCCCAAGACAGCCCACGTGTAAATGTTACTCTATTTAGCCTTTTTTTTCGTCTGGTCCTCTTGCGCAGCAGTCCGGCGGCCGTGTCTGGCGGCTCGATCGGACGTGCCTGGTCCATCTGCGCCTTGGTCTCCCTGGGGATCAACAGCAGCGCGTTGGCTCCGTCCGACGTCGCCGCTCGAAAGCTGGATGAGACGCTGACCGCCCGCATGTGCATGTCGTACACAACCCATCCTCCGCCGCTTGTAGCCCCAGACCGTTCTCTCCAAGACGGAAGGCTCGGAGGGGTGGACGGTCAGGACATCGGCGACCCTCCACCGGTTCCGCTCATAGACGTGGAACGTGATGGAGACCTTGCCGTCGCTGGACGCCCGTTCGGGCTCAGTCCCAATGGTGGGGAGCGGAACCGTGGGCGGCCAAGGTTCCCGGTCAGCGACGTTGGTACGGTCCCCACCAGGGTCCGTGAGCGATAATCCATCCAACTCTCTGAAATTGAAGTGAGTTATGGGCCGTGGGCCCCGGTCGAGCTCGTCATTCTCGGCGGGCACGTCAAATCGAACGCGATCGGCCTCCACCCTCGTTTCCGGTCGCGTCGACTTCACCGCTGGAGCTGCCGCACCGTGCTCGACTGGTGGTGGCTCTGGACTCTGCAGCCCATCCACATGCCCGAGCTGCTCGGCGTTCGATCCGCTTTCGAGCTCGTTGGCGATCGGAGCGACTCGATTGGCCGCTCGATCAGCATTTTGCCTCGTTGGCTTGTCTTTCTTCTGAGATTTTCTAATTCCGGCAGCCTTCGATCGTTGGTGCCTTGGAGAAGTTCTCCCGTGAGAGTCCCCGGGCGCGTCCAGCTGACTTCCTCGCTGACGCCATCCCGCGATCACACCCCGCAGGTCGAAGTGAGTGACGGGCCGGGAGAGCACGGCGGTGGGAGTGTTGGATTCACGTTGCGCGCTGTCGGTGCTTTGCTCGGCCGCTCTTCCCTCGACCCGGCTCTGCAGCTGGGCGAGAGCCCGCGCTCGATCCTGCGCCACCTTTTCCGATTCGACGCCTGTGTTCTCGACCATGGCGTTCTCGCCCGTGGCACTGTGTTCTGTCTCCCAGCGGGTGCGTTCCTGTGTGTCATGCTCTCCTGCGGCTCTCAGTTCCGCGTCGTCCTGCAGCATTTCGTCGAGAAGCCCATCGATTGCTTTCTCGATGTCCCCGTCATCTCCGGCTCCCGCCGTGGATGGGAGTATATCTGTGGCAGGGGGTGTCTTTGGATTGCGCCTGAGTCGTTTCTGACTGCGCGCCGTGTGGATCGCTCGGTGGTGGCGGG